CCGAGTTGGGGTGCCTGAGTTCTGCTCGCAAATCTGGCTCTAACTTTCACAGGCCGGCTTTGCAACAGTTGCACATCCCAGTTTTCTGATCTAGATGGCCTAGTGCTTGTTAGTGCTTCGAGTTCTATCCTCCCGAATGTAGCTGGCAGCTTGACGCGATCTGGTGCTACTGGCTCAAACGACGCTTGCTGTTGCTCCGTCTTGCATGAAAATTCAAGTGCCGGCTCGTTCAGGATGAGCGCCGGATCCTCTAGGTCCAGGGTCTCATGATGGATCCTAGATTGGTCTATAGGTCGTCAGGAGAATGTTTCCATGCAGTGTTTCTGCGACGACAAATTGACAAAGATATTCGAACGAGCTCCTTGACCTCTCAAGGCATTGCTCCACCGGATTCTCTTAAGCCCAGAGAGTTGTATATAGGATGATCTGTGCGCATGTAGACATGCAACATGAGCCCCCGAAAGTCACAACACAGTACCGAAGCGGCGCTTTTGCGGTGCTCAGGCGCAAGGAAGCATTTCCATAGCATCTGGCAGGTCAGGTTCTTGGGGCTGCCTGGTGCTTCTTCAGTAACGGTATTTGCTAGACATTCCCTTCTAAGACAGACGCAACTCAATGTAGCAGCCGCGGCTCCCAAGCAGAGCTGCCCTGTAGGCTGTTGTAGCATACATTACGTGCCAGGTTGTCGCTTTGTTTGAGAAGAGGCACTCTATACATATATATATATATATATATATATAATTATGTCTCGATTCGGGTGCTTTTCCGCTCCGCCGGCAGGGTGCGCAGGCTCTTGCCTGCGCGCCACCGCAGTTTCGGTTGCCTCTCCGAGGGACTCAATATAGCCTGTTGGCCCGCCACATCCACTCAATCCCGATTCGGAGTGAGTATTGGCTTGATTTTGCTGGATATTTGCCTTCTGGTTGTCCTTTTCACATATCAGGACTTCAATCTAAACCGAAAACTAGAGACGGCATTTGGGCTTCCGTATTCGGGTTTCGGAGAGAGTGTATTGTTGCTGTAACTGCAACAGCAGGAGCTGACAGGGGACACGGGGCCTCCGGGGAGGGCGATGTGCCTTTGCTGCCTTGTTGCAAGCACCATCCACTGCGAATCCGTCGACTAAGATATACTGAGCTCAAGACCAAGTGATAGAAGCACTCCTCGAACCTCGACTTGACAGATCGGTTTCCCAGACTATATGTGTGCACTGAGCTTCTGTGACCTGAAGCATAGGGCATCTCGAGAGCAGCTATCTTCCGAACAAGGCAGCAGGAGGCACGAAGCTATTCACTCTGGCACACGTCTGGGGTTTTTAGTTGGGAAGCTTTCGCGAATATCTGTCAAAGGCAGAGCTTCATGTGGCCTGTATTTCTCACTATCAAGGTCCCCGAGACAGCATGACGCAAACTTATTGTAGCCTCGTGCGGTTGCCCAAGGCTATCGTAGCAGTAGCAGCCGACCGAGGGGACCGTCGGGTGAGAAGCCGCAATGTCGTGCTTATTCCCACAGCAGCTTGGGACCACCACGGGAGCAATAGAGATTCCCAGGCAGTGAACCGTCTTTGAGTCATCCGTTCCCCCCGAAGTCCTCCATGTTGTATCACAACAGAGTGTTGCCCGCAGTACGTTTTTTTGCTGCGTCCCTCCTCACTCAGGTCAGGTACAGGTGTTCTGCCTCATGACTTGTCTCTTGTCTCGGAGCCATACACTGTTCCAACCATCACGCCGTCAGCATCAGCATCGCCCGCTCGAGTGTCGGTTTGCTGTTGCGTGGACCCTCAGGCTCTTAAGACCGGACGGCTACCTAGAAGGCAGAAAAGTTGCAAAGCGGGAGTCTTGGGAAACATGGAATGATGAAACGGATGAAACGTTCATGGCATAGGTCTGTTCGAGGCCAAGCAGGTGCTGTTCGAAAACCTGCTGACCGATTTCCAAGCCATGCCGTTTATGCTGAATGCCATGACTGTGTAGCATGCAATAAGCAGTTACTTTCTCCTGACAACACAGAAGACAGAAAGCTTCCTCTTGTACATCCCAGTGGTTTGTTGCTGCTGAGGCTTGGCCTGGGAAAGGCAGCCGAAGCGCAGCCGGGACCTCAGCCCAGCATAGCTTTAGATGTTGCAAGGGTTTCTCCGGTCTCTTGGTCGGAAACTCTACTCATAAAAAGCATCCAGCGTTTTGGAAGACAGTGCAAACATATACATATGCACGTATATGTATATATATATATATATATATGCATGCATAATACATGCATGCTCCCCCCCCGCCGCGACATACACCATCACGGGGAAAATATAGACGTGAGTAAATTGATGGGGGAAGGGGTGACCATACATATGGATCTAGTTCTGGATCTACGTTGTCTGGCTTCCGTATTTGCTGTCCGCCTTAGCCCGGAGCTGGGGGCCGCGCCGATGGGCCTTGTGGTACATTACTTTGTTCGTTTTGTTTTCCTCGCTCGTGTGTCTTCTGCATTGGTTTGGTCTGCGGAAGGCGTTACTGGCATTGGTGATCAGTGTCCACCAGTTGTTATTTTTAGATGCACTTGCTATGGCTAAATCCGTTGCTGCTAGGATGGCAAGACTCTGTAAATGTTGCTAGAGTTGTCCTAATGCGGTATATTGCCAACCGCTGTTTTTCTTTTGCAATTCCTGACATTTCTTCGTTGCTACTGCAAGTATATACCCTTGCCACTCAAGTAGTTCGTGGCAGTAAGAAGCATAGTAGTAAGAGTCGAAACAACTGCTTGAATAGAGTGAATGAGGGAAGGAACCAAGAACGGAAGGACATGAAATGACATCGTCAAGCAGAATGAGTGAACAACTTTCAGGAATGGCTGAATAATTCACGATTGAACGCAGGGAGGGATGAGTGGATGGGTGGGTGGGTGGGTGGGTGGGATGGGCGGGATGGATGGGACGGATGGGATGGATGGGACGGATGGCATGGATGGGATGGATGGGATGGATGGGATGGATTGGATGGATGGGATGGATTGGATGGGTTGGATGGATCGGAATGGATTGGATTTGGAGGGATTGGATTGGATCGGATTGGATTGGATGGGTGGATGGATGGGTGGATGAAGGAATGAACCAGCAGGTATAAGCTGGAACCACCAAGTATACATAGAACAATTTGCGCAAGTTAACCGTCGACAGCGACATAAGCAAGGGCAATGAAAGGATACCTGCATGCCATATCGCGGCGTGTGATTTTCGCCACTTCAGGGCGAGCTACATCCAAGCCGTTCGGAGCGATCCCGTCACCGAGGGCTACCTGGCCCCTTGGATCATGGCACATGTAGTTTTGCAAGAGGCCTTTGGATTCAGGGCGAACTGAGCAAGGCTTTGGCTTCCGAGGTGTTTATTCTAAAGCGGTCCTGTTTGAGCTGTAGGCCTTAGGACTTCAGGTCCAGTTCTCGGGATACCCAAGGAGCAGCCTTGCACAGGTCGAAGCTGCCAGGAAGAGCCCGCACCTCTCAACCCAGCGACAGTTTGTCATACCTTCTGCGAGGACTTGCGAGGATCCAAACCTTCCGAACCCTGCTGTGGCCCCTCTCGCAAATCCTGGCCCGGATGCAAAAAGCCTTCAACATTCGGCGAGCAGCCCCGCTGGAACAGGCCGGCCTCAGCAAAGCCACTGAGTCGCTAATGCAAGGAGAGGGTTCGGGACAGTGGAGGCTTTGGGAAGGTTTTGTTTTGCCTAGATGTGGAACTTGAAAAGAAGATTACCCAAGGGCTTTCAATCTCCTTTTCGTGCGGACTCGTGTCGAAAGTTTCTAAAACAAAAAGTTTGGCGATGTCTTTTTTCACTGATTCTCAGCTTGTTGACATGGCCACTGGTAATCAGAATACGATTGGATGGCGGTTTTGCCATCGGCATGATGATCAGAGTTGACCAGGGACCGCCAGAACCCAGCAGTGCATTCTGTGGCAGAGGAAGTTTCGGTAAAGACGAATCCTTTGCCAAGTTTGTCTTCAGCGTCAATGCTGCATAGCCCTGGCCTCTTCAATCCAAGTTTGTGGAGCTGCGGTAGATTCCAGTTTGAATGGAGGAAAATCGCCCTCTGATCGCCAAAATGAAGCCGAGCTCAAGAAGTCCAAAGGCCTGCCAGTCTGATGCTGATCAACCGAGTTCTGCACATTTGTCTTGGAGCGCAGTCACGCGTGTCTGATGGTTTGTAGCTGGCCGGGTTCTTTTCTGTAACAAGACGCAGTTGTCAAGTAGCTTCACCACAACGTGTGTGCTGCAAGTGCCCAAGCTCTGCAACCGATTTTCGACTTCCTCCCGTTTCGGCTCGTGTTGTGAAGCATGGGAGAAGTTTAACAGCCACAGCAACGGCACCGATAGCAGAAATAATGCGAAAAGCAGTACCCCAACAACAGCCTGCGATGGCAGGTACTTGCCATGTTGCATGGCTTGGGCCGACAGTGCTTACTCGTAGTCGGGTTCCCAAATTCCAGCCAGCCTTTCAGACCTGCAGCGTCGTAGCAACCAGACCTGCCCGTTTCAAGGGTGTTTGCACAGAACACATGAAGCTCGGCGTGATTTTTCTGCTCCTTTGGCATACCGCTGAAGCGCAGGACGCACCGTGACTGCAATGGGGCTTCATTGTCCTCGTCGCTGAGAGCGATATTTCAATGCTCATGGTTATTCTTGTTATTACCCCTCATGTCAACACTGTTGGTATCACTTCCATCTCCGATCATCTTGCTCTGGCCACCCTGAACTTTGCTCTCTCGGCCTGAAGCAGTCCTCGAGCATCAGATCCCTTATTTTTTTGAATTAGCCGCAGTATGTGCTGCGACATTATGTATGTGTACATGTCCAGGTTTATAAGCACATGTAGGTAGGTAGGGAGATATGGATGTATATGACTACCATTAATTACCTATGCACATGTGTGTATACGTGTGTGTATATGTATGGGTACGTGTATGCGTATGAGTGTATGTCACAGATGCTCCGATGTGCGTATGAGTACAGTCCGACATGTCGAGACTACATGTTGCTTATCATGCCTACTCCTACTTGTCTGCCTATACAATACATTCACATCGCGCGCGCCGCACATACAGACAGACCCTGGTTGTTGTACCTTGGCCGCCTTCATTGCAGGCATCCGATCAAGCAGGAGCTCCAGAATGTCCCTGCATAAGCAACAGCTCGGCCATCTACGAGCAGCTTCGAACTGTCCTGGTGGCAGCTTTGCTAATCATTGAGGCGTCAGACTTGTGGGACGATCACTTGCTGTGCAGCTCATCCCCGCCTTGGTGTGAATTGCATGCTCTGACCTTTGGTCATATGTGAAGAATACCTTGGCACAGTGCTCAGCTAGCACCGCAGCCGCTTTCGTTGACTCTCGACTCACGCATGTTCCTGCTTACTGCTTTAAAGAGTGGGCTTCGGCATATCCTTTGCTTCTGCACCGTGCATTGTGGACATACTGTCTACTTAGGGCTGGTGTTTGCTTCGAGCGTCTGGGAACAGTATCAGTATCCGGCTTCATCAACTCTGTCGAACACTAGGTATGCAGATATATGCAGATGCTTGCTGAGCCCAGACGCTGCTCCTACATCAGGGCCATGGTTTTTTCGAGGTACTCTAGACTCTAGTCCGCCAAGCTACGCAGGCAACGGCAGCCCGGTGGTTTCCCAAAATTCCACGCAACCCCAGAAGTCAGAAGAAGTCTCGGACGTGCCAGTCCACTGTCCTGCTAGATGCCATCTCTGCGCCTCGAAACAGCGACAAATGCAAACGAAAGATGAGAGCAAGCGTGCCACAACCCTAGCGGTACGACAGCACAACGCCGCGTGGGTAAAACGCGGCCTAAGTCATCTAAACCTAAAGCCGTAAGCCGACTCTGATGCCAATAACCCCAGGCAGGCGGCTTTCCGCCAGACTATGGCGCCACAGGGTGCAGAGCATACGCTGCAGGCACTTCTCTGGATGGCTGTAGCGGGGAGGACGCTCCAGCGCACTGCTCCAACCCATGGTGACCTTCGTCTGAAAGTTGAGCAGAGTTCGGGCTGTAGTGTAGGGACCACACACGTTCAACGTGACCAAGGCTGAGCAGCCTCGGTAATTGACGATGTAGCTTTCGAGGCCTCGGGTGCCTACTATTTGCCAGACTCGCGAGGGCCATAAGTTCACGATTGCCCAAGCACGTCGAACTCCGCAGCTGAGGCTACGTGGACATGTCAGTGTGCCTCATCATTGGCCCTCTGCAAGCTTTCTTCTTTGGTTAGACTTGGCCAACGTCTTTTGGCACAGTAAGATCCAATGCCAATAGGGCAGCAGAGCAAGGTGCCCTGTGAACGAGGACCTCTGTCATGCAGCTGGAGCAGCATTGGGAAGTGACATCTCTCCATACTGCCGAACTCGGCCGCGAGACTACACTATCCTGTTGAACATGTCGGTATACTACAGCTACGACGCCCCGGTTGCAAGTAAGCATCAAGTGCTCGAGCACGCTTTGGGTTGACTGTGGGGCAAAAGCTGCCACAGGCATCAAAAGTTGGACGGGGTTGAGGTTGCGACGAGCCTGACTGCGTGACGGGAGATGATGTCTTTTCTGTCCCGATGCCCCCGCTGTCACATCTGAATCACATGCGGAGAGGCCACCCGTAGCCAGCCCATAGAGCAGGTGCGGCACTCGCAATTACCTATACTATTCTGGGGGTTCCTTATTATTGTGATAGTATAGCTCTAATTAATCAGGCCCCTATATGTCACGGCTTTCAGTTTGGAAGTGTGCATGTGTTGCACGGGCTGTACATCTCTAAGGAGACGTGTGGTTCTGTGAACCTCTACGACCCGACGAGGCATTCCAAGGAGCTGGGCGGAAACATCCTCCGTGCCGTTGTCGCTCCCTATCCGCCTTGGGTAACCCAGCGCAACTCATCCACTGGCAACTTTGGCTTCGACGGGATTTTCCTGGAGCTCAAGTGTGTGGTGCTTTTGTCGAGAGGTTTTGTTGTGGTTATCGGGGGTCCGGGGGCGTGTCGGACAGCGATCCCTTGCAGGTAATGTGGAGTATGGCGGGCCGAGCTACGATTTTTTTCAGAGCGTTCTGAACTTGTTCGATCCCCCTGCGCAGCTGAATCTGCTCCCGGGCTGGGCCACGGAACAGTCTTTGCAGAGGTTCCGCAGCCACTTGGCCAAAGCTCCTCTTTGGTACTGGTTTACTGGTTTTTGCTTGGTCGGTTGCTTGGAATTAACATCGGAATCCTTAGAATCAGAAGCGCGAACATGGCGCTGGCTGCGCAGGCAGCTACACCGCATGCGTGCACGATGTCGCAGTTGGAAACTTCGACATTTGCATTGCAGACTTGTGGCTCACGCCGAATCGCCATAGATTGGCTTGGTTCCTGCCAACAATCCGGCCACTTGGTTGTTCAGCATGTCCGTGCCTGTGAGAAATTGGGTAGGCTTTGCGAGCATAGCGTTGCCCAGGCAGGACCTGTTCTACTTGGTCGTGCCACGAAAGTTCGACGAAGTAACCTTACTGTCTTATTTGCAAAGGCCTTTCCTTCCCTTCACGCCAGATGCTTGGCTGGGGGTCTTCGCCTTTCTTTGCGGTCTCTCGGCGGTGCTCTGGATCGTGCGGCTTTGTGAGACGCCCGCCAAAGAGAGACAAGGCTGCCAGTGGAGCTTGCAGGACCGGGAAGACGGCAGCCGACAAGTCTCGCCTCCGTATCGAAACCTTTGAAAGGTACCCTTAAAGGAACCTATTCGTCTTCATTGTTAAGAGTATCAAGGCCCCTATGATTCGGCTCTCCTCACTAGGATGATTCAGCCAAGCTGTAGCGCTGTCTGCATAGTTGTTTTCACGGTATGGGTTAGGCCACAGATCCGGGGTCACAAAAAAACAAGTTGCCATGCCACTATACCGGTCGGTGCAGCATGGAAAAGCAACAGAGTTAAAAGGATCGGTGGTGAAGAGCTGGTATCTGTGCTGACTTGAAGAGAGAGAAATGGCCTAGAATTCCTTTTTGCACAGGAATTGGGGAACTTCTTGTTCAACACTTGGCACGATTTCCTTCTGGGCCAGAGCAGTCACGAGGTCGAAAGAGGCCGTTCAATCAAAACTGTCCCTGAAGCCACCTTGCGACATCCTAGGCAGCTGTTCACAAAGGTAGGCTCCAAGCTTCCGAGCCTCATAGTCGGCATGCGCCCTTGTCTGCAGGCCTAGCGCACAAGCTGTTCAGCCTCGCGTTTTCCTTCTTCATCCTCGTCACACTTGCCAGCTTCTCACCGGTTTACGGTGTAGGGTTATGGCGTTTCGAAATGCTCGACGGGAGGCTGACGGTGTAGGATTTGGGGTGCCTAGAGGAACAGCGCCTCTCTTAGTGCCTTTGGTAAGGCTACACTGCGAGCCTGGCATCTATGCTTGTAGTTCAGCGAGAAGCTTCTGGGGAGATCAACAGTTCCTCAGTGAAAAGCAGATTTCAGGTTTTGCCTGGCCAGTTTGCCGCACTTTTACGGAATTTTACGGTAAATAGACCTGCCGTCTTGACTTGAAGAGCCATCCCACCGCCACACCCCGTCATATAGCGTTTGAGTTGCTGTAGAGCATATCTGACTCGTACTGCTACAGTACTCAGACCCTCATGGTTCAACCACCGAGGCATCGACGATGCCATCACAGCCGGCGTCCCAATCTGCGCACCCGCAGTTCTGACACCAACCTTCAGCACCTTGTTCGGGGCCGCCACCTTTGTTGACTGCGATGCCATCGCCAATTGTGCCCGTATTTTGCATGCGGGGAGATGTAGAGCCATGATCGTCTCGGAGGATATTATCAGCAGCTTGCACGCCGGATTGATCCAGCAAGCCGACTGCGATGATGTGAACGCCGGAAGAGTGTCCGAAGAAGTGGGCCGATGCACGACCACCGAGACTAACCCTGGCAACGCGCGAAACGATTGCGAGCTTCTGCGTGTGGGAGATCTTCTTTGGAGCGTGCCTCTGTCTTTCCCGATCAGCGATAGGTTGGCTCACGGCATGTCGTGGGCCGTCACTCAAGCCATTACTGCCGGGCTCTTTGAACGGGCGAAAGACTCAGAACTCAACAAGGAAGCTTTTCCATTGTCGCAGTGTACAGTCGTCGAAGATCGAAGTGAGGAAGACGGCCCCTTGGATGCATTGCGCCTTCTTTCAGTGTTTTTTCAGTGCACGGTCGAACGAGCTTCTGGAATGTTGGGGCTCCGCTTAGGTCTTGCTACAGTAGGAGTCCGAAAAAAAAGCCTCTTTACTTCTGTGTATAGTTTGTAATGTGTATCCTCTGCTTGACTTGCACAGCCAGACGATATTGACAGTCTGCGCATGAAATGTTCTTGCATTTTCTGACTGACCCGGGGAAATCTGCAGGTAGTCGGGCAATGCAGACGCTCCCCAAAGCAAACCAGGTAACCTTCGGAAACCATCGTATATCTTGTGCCTCGGGTCCAAGTCCCAACGGAGGCTTTTGACAGAGATTGTCCTATTTCCAGGTCTCACGCTGGCAGACCTCACCGGGACCATCGTCATCTCCATGTTCATGGTGGGCTTCGGATTGGTTTGCTTCACCCTGCAGGTGGGCTGAGACGAGTGCGGAATTTCTTGCTGGGTTTTTGGGCCCGCATGAAACTCTGGAGCAAATCTGTGCTCCTGATTTACGGCGCTCCCGAGTTCGTTTTCAATAAGAAGTCGCCTAACTTCTGTCGGCTGATAGTGGACATGCCCACTGGGAAGAAGCATCGACTAATGCCTACTGGCAGACATCGTTTTCATTATCATCTTCACTATCCCAACATCAATAAGGACATACACATTACAACTTGTTGCATGCAAAAGGATCACCAGTCGCAGCACCGGCATGACAAACATTATCAATGGCCAAGAGGAACCATGGCACACGAAATCCCAAGTGCAGCAGCAGATCCAACTCCTTCCGTGAATTCGCGAGCGAAGCCTTGGCCACACGCCCAAACCCTTCTGAGCCATTCATCCTGGTCCTGGACCCTCCTCCATCGCAGTCAACTGTCAGCCCCAACGTCCACATCGCTGCAGCCAACGATGTGAAGCACTTGCCCCGTATAGGGCTCTTTCGAACAGGTGCTGCGCCGTGATGGGCGGGAACTGGTGCGACGCAGCCGCACCTTTGGGCAAACACCGGCAGAGCCTGAGGTCTTGGAGACTTGGCGCTTAGAGGGCTGAGGGGTGTGCGGTTCGGTGTTTAGCTGAGGGCTTCGGACTTGAGGAGTGTGTCAGATCTCTGCTTCTAAGTCACTGTGTCCGGGTGAGGCCTAACATCGCCGCCAATGATGTTGAAACTTTGCGGCCTGGGCAGGGCCGTTCGCGTGGAATTTGTTGTCCCCTTGTCCTCTGTCACGTCATGTTGTCGGAGGTACTGTTACTGAAGGTATCTCGACAATTGACGGGGTTAGCATGTTTGACATGGCATGCCGCATCTCTTCTGCATCACTACTCCAGCAGACAGATTGATTTGTAGTCTTTTTTACGGTCACTGCCCAGGAGTTCCTTGTTGCTTCAGGCATTGATGTCTCGTACTTGTGCAGCATGGTGGAGCCTCCCCGCATCCTAGACATTTTCTGGAACTAGTCTCAGCTGAGGAAGAGGTACGGACCCTGACAGGGCCGGAGAAGTCCTTGGAGACAGCAACGCCAGACGCTGCGACAATCCCGGGAGTGTCGTGGGAGAAGGATTCGCAGGATCCAGACCAGGCCGACGACTTACTAAATCCAAACACTTCCTACCTAAGAGACACGGTCTTCATTCCCCGCTTTCGTCTGCTCTATGCCATAGTCATAGGCTTGTTTCGCCCGCTTGGTTTGTTGGGCAGCGTCCTGCAAGACAAGACCAGGATTCTCGCCGCCTCGTGACTTTGCATCTGTCCTTGTGCTTGGTCGCAGGAGTCGCAAGATCCAGCGCCGGATCCCGTACCAATCCAGGAGCCCCGCGAAAGCAGGGCACAAACATCTCCTTTGGCAGAGCAATCGGAATATTGCAAGCGTATTTAGTGTCTGGGCGTGGCTTGGAGGGAGGAATAGCGAATTAAGCTTGGGTGGCCTGCAGACGGCATTGTGCGGCAAGCGGGTACACAAGCCCAGTGAAAGCGTCCACCTACAGCTTCGTCAGTGTTGCTTCACATATCGCTCCGCACGCTGCGCATCTGCCTTCTCACATGAGATTTAGGCCGGAGAAACATCTCGGCACCGACAAAAAATGTCATGCCCATGTTCATGCTGTCGCCGCCCTGAAGGGAAGCGCCAGATTCAGACGGAGTTATGTTGTGGTGCTCCGTCTTCGCGAAAAATGCTGCCTCGGGTTTCCACCACCGAAGAGCCATGAACTCATGGCCAAAATCAACAGCCCCCAGGTTTTCATTCCGCGCATTCAGTCCTGCTTCATGCATTCGGCCTGTCGCCGGTGCAGGATGCCGGGTCCCACCCCAGCAGGCTCCAACTAAATCCAAGTTCTGACAGCTATCGCAAAGAAATAGAGATGGAACACCCCATGCCGTTGCGAGTGAGCAGGCAATGAGGCACTCAAGGCGGGGCAGCTACCCCTCGCGATCGCCTGCTACACGATGGCCATCTCAGCCCCTCTGCTCGGAGTTTTAGGGTTTGCCTTGGGAGCGGAACTATGAGCCTTGCCGTGCTCAGACCCTGAATGGCCTGGGGATGTCATTCCGAAAGCCCCGCAACGCTTGCTCATGAGCTTCTGCTCGAACGCTTGAATAGCTCCCGACTCGGGTGGACCAGCACTCCTAGACGCGAAACTGACCTGTGTATCCTGTGTTGGGCGGTTGTATTGATCCGGATTGACCGCATAACACTTGCTGTCGTGATTCCTTGCTTGGCCGAGAGTCGAAACTCAAAACCATGCCGAGGTGCGGGACTCAATGTGGACTCTTTCATGTAGTTGTGGTAATGCTTCAACATCCTTCAACATGTTCGTGCCGCCCTGGTGTGAGTAGGGCCGTAAATGCTAAAAGAAGGCGGAGCCGATCGTAAGCGGACCAAGGCGATCCGGCCGCTGGCGGAGACTGCTGCCAATCTCAAGCAGAATGTGCTCAGCTCAGCTCTCAAGAAGACAAGAAGGCTCTCATCAGTTGCAAAGGCGACATTAGCAGTAGCTGGAGATGACAGCACTAAGAAGCTGTACTCATGGAAATTCAGCAGTACATGGACAGCTGTGACTACTGCATAGCTGAAGTAGGTTTCACGCTACATGTAGGACGAGGACGAGGAACGATAGCTCCATCGGATGGCATCAGAAGGGTTCGAGCTATGCTAGTGACAGGCCCTTGGGGCCACGTCTTTCAGAGCACCGGGGTGCCTCGATCCGTGCTTATCCAAGACCTCAGCTGCTAGACTGCTGCTAGAGGCAGAACAGGACCCATGCTCGAAGGAAGTCACGCTTGTTACAATCAATCTATCGACCCTTTAGTGAGAGCTGCGTGAGCCTGGCCGAGGCCGCAGTATACTCCTCCAACCGGTCGGCAGCCTTCGCGAAGTTAAAGTGCCGGCCACAGTGAACCCCGTCCCTGCCAACGATGATTCTACTACTGTTCCTGCGAATGCCGTTGACTTGCTTGCTGCATTCATGGGGTTGCTTCGGAGATGCCGATGAGCATTGTACGACTCTTCTGGCGCCGGTGATGTTGAACCGGCAAGTCGCTCCGACATTGGATGCAGGTTCGCATGTTAGTGCAGTTCAATCATTGTTTCCCAGAGTCTGAAGCAGGCAGTGGTACTTCTCGCTGGGTGACGCGGAAGAAGCTGCTCGACTCAGTGGCAACCTCAAGACCTTCAGCTTGTGCTTCCTGAGCCCAGCAAGCCAAAGCAACGGCTTTTCCCGCTGCAGGTCCTCAGTGGTACAAGGCACACCTGCGGATTGCCACGGCGTACCTTGGGCAGGGACATGCCTGAAGCTCTGTTGAAGCGAAGTGTGAGAGGACTTGCATACTTCAAGAATGTTGGTTTGTATGTTCAGTCCGTCCGCAGTCATGGAGGGCTGCACGCAGCCGCAAACGCCCAAGAAGTCGCGACAACTCACAATGCAAGGCTCCTTTCCATGAAGTGTCAAGCCTTGCGAACCGGGGAGTGTCCGTCCTCGAAATCACTACTACTCTCTCTTCCTCACTTGGGCACAGCACCTCCATCCTGACGTGGTGTCGCGCTCTACGAGTCTGCACATCCCATCATTGCGGGCTCCCGCAAGCCTTTCCCTCGCCCTTCCCTTTGACGCAGTTCTCCCCAACATCCGCACCCCCCGTCCAAAAGTGTCGACTGTAACAGGGGTCCTGTATGTCTGTGGTTGAGAATCGCACACAGATGCCCGATCCTCTCGACACACATCGATTAAACCTGTCGGTGTCATGTTGCTCGGGACTTTCGCAAGTTTTCGACATGCCGGGCAACTCCGGATCTCAAACGTGGCGCCAGTGGCTGGCAGGAAGTCGTGATCTGCATGACTGACCGAAACAACAGGGGGCTGTAGGGTGTAGGGTAGTGTTGATGTCAGAATCCACATAATAGCCAGTCCTTCTTCTGCACGGGGTGTCAAGGCTGTACATTGTGTCGTTTTTTCTTTGGGGGGGAGCCTTGCTGCCCTGGGTCGTCCCTGAGGCCCTCGCAACGAAGGCCCCTGCGTGCAACTGCAAGAGCATAGCCCGCATTCTGCGCGAATCCTGTCACCCCAAAATTCTCAAACTTCCATGAATCGTTCTTGGTTGACGCGGAGCCGGCAACGGCATTGAGGCCGAGCATGCGTACAAGCGAGGGGCTCGGCTAGCCGGCCACAGCAGCACGGTGCAACTTGGGTGTCGTCGAATTCGGGTTTCAGGCTGGCAGACGGCAAAAGGGCCTGCTTACGGTTGTCAAGACAGTTAAGGCCCTGTTGAGGCCTCCTTGTCCTAGCCGTCCTAGCCCGCGGGTGAAGCCCAGTCAGAGCAACACCATTCACATCGTTCCCAAGCCGGTGTCTCGTTGGCATCTTCAACAATGGCATTAGTGCTGACCGCTCCTGGAACAAGGTGTTTGTGGTTGATATCAACCTGACGAATAATCATTCACGTTTGAGCAGCGTGTCCTTGTACTTAGTTCTCTGCAGGCAGTCTCGAATCTCAGATGTATAACGTGTTGAAGTTCCTCAGCAAGACAATAGTTGAGGACGTATCTCTTCGCCAGCGAGCTGCCTCAGGGCTATGCCGAAGCCATGAAGGACAAACTGCACCCCACTGTCATTCCTTGTTTCCAGGTCGACAGCTGCAGTGCTTATGCTGCAAGGTTTGTGGTCAAGGGCGATCAAATGTGAGTTGTTTCAGGAATGCGTGCACGCGTTGTGGCAGATCCCTTTGCTGGAGCCGGTGCCTGTGTTTCTTTGTTCCGTGGCTATGGATCCGAGGGTCGATAGAGCCTAGAAGCCGGTAGCCCGTCCTGGAAACCAGAAGCAGGAGAGCCCGTAACGCAGCTCTGAGAGATCGGGTCGAAAAGCACCGATTCACCGTCATAACGCCGTAACGCTGCACCAAGAAGCAGCCACACGAACATGAAGGTCACGGTTCGAGCATGTTAGAGCACAGCTGTCCTTTAAGATGTAAAGCGTTTTGGATAAAAGTCGTTGCGATGCTGTCTTGTGATTATTGCCTCTACTGCGTCTGTCAGAGAACTGTACAGTTGTTTCGAGAACACACTAGGCAGATTCGGGCCACGGCTTCATGCATATTAGATTTGCGTGTCCCGTGCTTGCCCATCACCTTGAAAACTGAGGGCTTGCCACTCTTCCCCTTCTGAAGCTCGCAGAAGACTTTCACCCGAGTTCCAGGTTCCGTGTCCTGAGTGAGCAAAACACATGAAACAAGAAACAGCTGCAATATAGAACATGATGCACAACAGCACCTTCAGCTATAGTATAGAAGTTGGCGTGCCACCAGGCAAGTAAAATCTCATGTTGAAACCCGGCCTGAAATAACACCACAAGCAATCCTGTCGCCCTGCCTTTCCACAAATGAATGGTGAAGACTGAGTCGCCCAGGTCACCTTTAGCCAAAAGGCGAGTGAGCAGATTTGATGAGGAGAGCCAGCATCTGTCTGTAGATGCAAAGCCCAATTTCGTGACTGTCATGAACCGTTTTGCATAAACAGCAGGCAGTGTACGGAACGACACAGAAAGTTCAAGACGCAGCATGGGGCCTGCGTATGTGTGGCACTCGTCCTCCCCACTTCTGTGTATCCATGACCTCGATGTGGTCACATTGAGTCATGCAGGTACACCACTTACATGCAAAAAGCCGAACCAGCATCAAAATGATCGCCCGATGTTTGTGGATGTTTTCTTCAGGACAAGAACAAGCCGCGAGGCTCGTGCCGAATCTTCGCCATCTCCGACGTGCACACCTCAGCCAGTTCCGGTGCCCGAGAAAGCTTGAGCTGATGAATCATGCTGATTCAAGCCGCTGTCAAACCGGATTGGCGGGGAACTGAAGAACTTGCCAAGTGTGCCAACTCACAGGTCGAGAGCGCAGTCTGAGCTTCGAGTTCTCAGAGTCGAAATGCTTCCCAAGACAAATCTATGCCGTACCCCTTGTCCTTGCAAGGTGCACATTGACCACGGTGGCTCCGTCTTGAAGTGGGCTGAAGGCATCAACGACAAGGCAAGCTGGGATTCTGCACTTCGTACGATCCGTGGCATCTACGAATCTACGCAATTTCAACGAGAAGTTAAAGTTCAGCGTGACCAAATGACTTCAGAAGATGTTGCCCAGGATGACGGCTTTCTATCCGACAGGGGAGCTGCCCCTTTCACATTTCTTCTATGTCTATGCCTTTTCCATGTCCAACCATTCCTGTCGAAACGGTAGTTTGCTCCTGATAACTATATAGAATCCCTTTCTTGCTCGTCGGCTTGGGTTGTGCCCTTGAGGAGTTCAAGAACGACATCTTGATCGTTGCAGGCGATCTCGGTGATACGTTCAATGCTATCAAGTGCAGGTCTCAGTGAGTGGGCCCCGGGTCTATCATGATTAATCCATCACGTTCGGAGCGGATGACTCAGCATCGACCTCCTATGTCGGAGAAGCGGGGTGCTGCTGGTTTAGAGTGGCGATCACTCGGGTCGCTGTGAGCCTCACGTTTGCGTGCCCCTGAGCCATGACAAGATACTGAGATCCAACAGCCCCACTCCGCTTCGGTTCATTTTTCACATACTTCAGTGAAGTCAAGGACTTCCGCAACGCCCATCGGCTCAAGCCCTAGAGCCCTAGAGACTCGACGCCATGGAAGCAGATTCCGAAGTGGCCATGCTGAAATGGTCTCAGCTGACGAGCCGCCTACAACGGCACACTTTGAGGCCAAAGTTTGCAGCATGAACGCGCCCGTCTCAACTTTGGTGTGCTTCCGCCCGTCGCGTTTCTACGCTTACATGTACTCTACGCTCTAGTTTAAACGTTCTGCAGTCGTGAAGCTACGTGTTCGAGGCTCGAAGTACCCACTCTCGTAGCCGCAGCCTGCTTGTTGTATCATTGATGAGGCCCGCGGGGTCCAGGGGTAGAAGGTAACATTTATCTATTGTTCCAGCGCCACCTGAACCTCCGAACTTGGCTGTCTTGCAAGACGTGCGAATGCCTTGATAGCTCTCGGAACAAAACGACCCCTGCTTGGCCATAAGATTCCAGTACCCTGAAGGGGTGTTCGCGCTGCTCTAGCGGCACACAGCGTCGCTCTGGACAAATTTGGTAATAGATCACTGGGGAAAGACGAAGGCAGTGAAAGATGGGGGAGCTTCAGATCTGGTTATTCAAGGGGACATCTTACCCTTTTCCTTCTTTCCATCGTGGTGCAGAGGATCGTAGATTCCGTGGAGGGAGGATTCAAGTAGAATGGCTGTGTTGGTTGGGCAGCTCAAGTTTCAGAGGGGTTTCCACGGGAATGTTCAGATTCGGCATAACCTAGGACCTAGAGGCTTTCCCGCAGGGTCGCAGCTGGCAGGATCACTTCAATGCAGCGAGCAGGTCTGGGCTCGCACATTTCTTTCACGTAACGAAGACCCTCAGCTGCCTGCGAGTGTCAGCCTGTAATCACCGCAGTCTGGATTCATTCCCGAATCGTTTCCGGTCCCAGTCCGTGAATTGGAGAAGCCGGAGTTTTACTGCCCGAAACCCGCAGCCAGAATCCGACGTAGCCTAGCTGGGTACTGAGGGGGCACCCACAGCAGCACTCCGCCATGGCGATGGGACCGCAAGTGCTGGGGCAATGGTAACACGCATGTCAGCTTTGTGCGGTTGCAGGCTTCTACTTCTCGTCTTCTTTATGCTATGATAAAGCCAGTTGCCAAAGACGTGCTGCCGGCAGCTGAGAGTTAGAGAGTTTGGTGGATGGCTTGGCCAATGTCGGACCGGACGGAGGCAACAATAAAACCAAAGTTGGAGGACGGCTCACTTCGACGCAAGCTGTGGGCGAGCGCCGAATTTCACACGCTACCCAGGCGGAACAGTTTTCATGGGAGCATTGGAGTTCGGGTTTATCGTAGGGAGTTCAGGAATTTGAGCACGGCGAGTCCAGGTACATGTTTAAAGCTGAGTTCGTGGAAACTACAGGCATGCACCCAACCTGGATAGTTCTATCCTGAAGACATCGCATTTGGCGGCAGGATTAAACGGCGAGACTATGGCACCACAGTTCAGCATGAGGCGTAGGTGAAAACAGACGAGTTGCATGGTATTGCTACGTCCCAGCCGAAAGTAGTATGTCGTATCACTTCGCCTTTCTATTTATTTTCTCAGCTTATCCAGGTGTAGGGTTCATCTCCTTGATGCTCATTCAGTCCTCCCTGTGCAATTTCAACGAGCTGACTCCTGGCGGAATCAACAGCCTTTCCACTACTTCCTCCGTAAGACTTGCAGAAAGGCAGTGTAAATCCTTGCTCCTAACATCTCCATGCAGGAGGCAACTCCACAGAAGGACCACTGAGAGTTATGAGTACCCTAAATAGAGTTACCCCAATTATAACCCTACTTATAACCTACTTACTAGGTCCCGGTTTGAAAATGCTGTCCGCCAGGAGGCGACAAGGACGTCAGCGGACTCGGTGCAGGGGATTCGGAGCTGCAGCTGCGGCTCAATGGGTTTCAGGAGGGTCTCTTTGGGTTTCGACCAGGGTTTCAGGGTTTGGGGGTGTGGGGTGTTGATTCTGGGGTTTAGCATGTTGGGTTAGTAGATTTGAAACCTTGGGTGTAGGAATTCAGTTCTGTTTGTTGGCACGTTTTGAACAAAAGGGTATTGGATTTCGGATGTTGGGTTTGGGCTTCGTATCGACTTTCATGCCTTGTTTGCAGGGTGCATGCGTTGTGTTCAACTCGCCACTGTCACTCTCGTTGTGCCTGGCAAAGGTTGGCCAAGTTCCTCACAGAGGAGGAAGCAGATCAAGCCTTCAAGGCGCTTTGTCCCGGCGGCGAGATTGAATATCAGCAGTGGTACCACATGCCAGACAAGAAGAAGACGCTGGGCTGCATCGCACTAGAGGCTGTAGTCGCATGTTGCACCTGAACGGAGTCCGGTCGACTGCCCTTTCCCTTTTCTGCAAGCCTTCAGCCCAGGCCCTACCAGCCTTTGAAGCGACTGCAGCGGGTGAAGGTGGCCATGGCAGATCCTGAAGAAAAGGGCCTTCCATGGCATCTCGAGCCGCATCCAAGTGAGCGTCCTCGAACCCCGCATTATTTAGCAGCTCATCGAAGCCCAAGGTATCGCTTCCCGGTCAATGATCAGCAGCGTTACGGGATCCTTCCCATGTCCCCGACAGTGCGAATGCTCTGCGATCGCGTGAACCAGAGGCTCTCTGCTGGTGGTGCGTTCTTGTTTGCATGTGTCGGGAATGCAGTGGGCTACCAGGAGACTTGATGTCACAGTTTGCGGGGCAAGTGAAGACTGGCCATGGCTCGGGGTTTCTAACGAGATCTTTGGGTTGAAGCTCTCTTGCCTGCCCAGCGTTTCCAGGCTAAATGGATCCTTCAACCATGTAGTCGTCCTTTACTATGCGGACGGCAACGAGTGCATCGGCTACCACAAGGACCAGAATTTGATTGACGCAGTTGGGGCATAAGGAGGATGACTTGTCCAGCAAGTTTATGGAGCTCCACTCAGCATCCTCATAACCTGAAGGATAAGACGCTGGACCTGGATGAGAATTCCTCTATCGTCAGCATCTCTCTGGGACGCCCGGGACGGCCTTATGTTCTGCGGGATGGTATCTTCAATCCAACAACTGAGATGGAGGTGGGACTGGGCCCGTCTTAATCGGAGATACCTGTATGCAGTCGAATCGAATTTCTAGCCGAAGCATCTTGCAAGCCTTCAGGTCTTGCTGCCTCATGGTGGCCTGTTTAGGCTCGGGCCGGAGACCAACCGGACCTTTTACCATGCTGTGCGCCAGACGGAGACTCCCGAAAATGCTGGGGCACGGGTATCGATCACCTTCCGGCATGTGACTTCCTACGAGACAGCCGGCACACTGAAGCCCGGCAGCAGGGCATCGTGCATCCTACCTCAGAGCGCAGGCAGCCCGGCAGCTAGTTTCCCGCTACAAGTCGGCAGCTCAGGACAGGTAAAGGCGCAGAATTCCCAACATTGAATTGGCCGCTGCAGTTGCGCCCTGTCCACAAGCCAATGGCAAAAAGTGGTTCGGGGTTGTTAGTTGGAGACAGAAGGCCAACATGTCATGGAGCATCGCCAGACAGCTAGTGACAGCTATAGTGATTCAATTCTTGAGCGCGGTAGCTGCGAATTCTTGTAGTTCGGCTTGGGAGCGTAGCATGGACTCAGTCTCCCCACGTCATGGGTCATTGCCGCTGTTCTTGGGCTGATTCGAAGCCTCCTCTCTGTCGTGGGACGATGAGAAGATTTCGTCGTTTACTGCGTTCACAGCTGGTTTGTCGTGCATCCGGTCCTCGTCATCCGGTTACCTTTAGAGTAGTCCTTGTCGGCTTCTGCTGCATCATGTACAGAGGCTCATCATGTGTTGGTCAGGAGCATACAAACAGGTGCTGCACGAAAGCACGAACTTCCAGCATAGTGCTGAAGGACACATGTTTGTGCGGTCATTAGCCTACGTGCTCGGTCGTTTTTGGGTGTGCGGTCACGGTTCCGTTCAGTCAGATTCAAAGACAGGCCAAGGGAGTCGAGCGCTGAGCCGACTGAAGTAGGACTTTGCAGCCGGCACTTCAGCTCTTCCCGAGGAATGGCCAACATCGCTTCGACGAAGACCTTGACCAGGTACCTGAGCTGAACTTCTGCTTGTGCTTCGCATTTTGTCCTTTAATGTGAAGTATGGCCATTGCTCATCAACGTTGGCCTGTAGTGACGCAGTGAGAAAGTGGCCTTTCTGGCGCGAGGATCGGTTCTCCTGCTTCTTTCCGCAAAACCGGTGCAAGAAAGAAGGATTCAAACCCTGATCTCCTTGCCTTCGGATTGCAAGCTCGAAGCCCGAGTAATTATGCCGAGGCTCCCGATGCTTGAACGCGCTCTCAAACCTACAACTGACATCCTTTCCTCTCGCTTTGGTTTTCCGAGGACCGCATTCTTTTCAGAGTTCTGCACCTGTCAAAAACCCTCGCGACATGCCTCAGTCCGGCCAACCCCGGCCCAACATATTGGGAAAGAAGCAAGCAAAGCCAGGGCATCCGCAAACGTTTCGCAGGGAGTCTTCCCAATTTGGCAACAAGCATCTGCAAACCACGCAGGTGCTTGTCATGCACATGGCACCACGCATGTCAACCAAATGGCACCGAACAGCCACCGTCAGCAAACTTGAAAGCATGTTGGAATGGCCCCGAAGTAACCGACATCATAGATGTTAGCACTATTCTGTTCACGACATATCGCGCCCACCTTTACTTACAGATGAGAATACAAGTACTTGCGCAGGTGCCCCTGAATTTGATACATGAGGACATAGGACAGATAGTTGATTAGTGTGATAGGCAGATAAAGAGATAGGTCGTACATGCTCGTACGATCCGCACCCATCAGCACCTTTAGGGTTCCGAGGCATCAGCCCTACTGCAGCCTTCTTCCGTCTAGGCCCTTGAGCGGCCGGAGTCTGCAACCGTGCCAAAAGCTCCAGTGTCGAAGAAGGCCAGACTCGAAAAACCCCCAGTCTCTGTCTACGGCTTTCGGCGTGGGTAGTATGTGCCACAGTTCCGACCTTGCACTAGCATTCTGCTAGTTGTTTGGGGCTTTGCGCAGCAGATGTAGAAGCAGCTCTTGAGGATTCTTGATGTGCTAGACTTCTAGAAGTGATGGTACGCCATGGTACGCCCTTAATTTTACCGGTATCAGACAGTCTAGTCAAGACAGCTCTGAACAATTTCTGAAGAGCTCCCCTGCGAGGTTGCTGGTCCACAGCTGTCTCCGGCAGATGTCGAGCTGCTCCGAACGTGCCAGGGATCACCATTCCATTCTCGCCGGGATTCAATCTTATGATTCGATTGTTCCATCCTTGAAAGCCTGCAGCTGTTGCGCGCTGCAGAGCATGACTGTAATTAGAAGACTTGCCATCTTGATTCATGACTAGGTGCCTTGCCGAAGCGTCGGTGGAGGTCTGCCTGGCGCCTGCTTCTGCGCACATGTACATGTATTCGTCAATTTTCAGGCTAGCAGCGAAGCGGCAAAGCATCGCCCTCTCATGTTAACGAACGACTGTTTTTTTGAGCCTTGCAGTTCTTCTGGTCTAGACCTGCTGCCCCAGCAGGACTTCTTCATCGCGAACGATCTGAAAGGCGCTGGCCTGGCTGCCCGCGCGGTGATGCTCGAAAAGGCATTCGGTTTCGTGGCTGGCAGTACGGCATGGACGTGCTAGCGGTTCGGAGCATCTGATTCCTACGGGCCCAACGCCCGAAGCCTCTGCAATCCAGTTCCTCCTAGAGTTGTTGTGTTGCTTTGTCTGCTGGAGCACTGTAGGTTGTGTGTATGGTACCTAAAGAATGCAGTGATCAAAGAGCCCAACTCCGGACCGAGTGGCACCGTTTCTGCCCGCCGCAGGCAAACCGAAGCGCAGCCTATTCTCGTGCTTACTGCACGTCCTACGGATTTATATTTACGTACGGATACACGTGCATACACACGCACACATATACATATAATACCATATATATATACACACATCATGTGCATTTGTATATAGATATATATATATATATATATTGTATGTGCATGTGTACGTGTATATATGCGTGTGTGTGTGTATACACATATACTCACCAATGTACAGATGTATGAGTTCCTGTATATGCGTATGCATGATATGCATAGCCCGCCCGAAGAATGACAGAGGAGATGTGCATGGCAGGTCGGGGAGGCTCGCGGTGCTGAGCTTTCCAAGGCCTGGTGTAAAACCTCGGCTTTGTTTTCAGCTTAGGGATCTTGGGTTCTTATGCTAAGGAGTTCATCATTGTTTTGTGCTTACATTAGGGTCCCCAACTTTCCTGAACCTTCCAGATCAGCGTTTCTCTTGTCCTGTTGGCGACTTGACTATGCTTCTCTCCTTGGAAAGGTGCGTCACTAGGTTTGGCTTCCGGTCTGCTCCGCCAGGCGCTGGGCAGCCGCATCGGTGAGGCATACCATGCCTGGAAGAAGGCCTTGGCTGAAGCCTAGCGATCTGTTGGGGTGGTTGACAACAGGGCCACCTGCAAAGTCATGAGATCGTTCCGAGTGCCTCGTATACCATAATTTCGACGCTCTTCTGAGATTCCTCTCGACAGTAGCTGTTGAAGGCCATGGCTGCTTTTGTATTCGCAGACATAAAGCCAACGATGCCTTTAACAGAGATGGAGACCTCTTGCCGAACAGCCCAAGCAGAGGCACGAGCCAAGCCAGCGCCGCCAGAGCCTTCAGCCATCCCGGCACCCCAGAAGGACGCCTGGGGCTGTGGATGCAGATGGATTTTATGAAACATGGGATGGCATGATGCCGGGTGGGGCATTCACTGCATCTTCAGGCATGATTCGACTCGGTAGGTTTTGCGAAGATGGATGGATGGTTCTTGTTGGCCGGTTGCCCACGCAGCCGGGGCAGATAGTTCTTGATGTCGCACTGCCCCTCACCGTGTCACCAACGCAAGAGGGGGGCTTCCTGGTCACCCGGTGCCGCTGGCAGGAGCCACGAGCCACGACCCCAGCAACGGCCAACGCCCTGCCAGCAGAGCCTGCTTGGTCATTGGGAGGGCTGCTCTCACGCTTCCCGGCTTGTCTGGCATCGAGACGGAGGTGTTCTTCCAAGTTGGAAGACATGCAGACAGGTATCCAGGCCACAGCTTCAAGCACGCACCTCCTGGAGTGTCGGAGGCTTCCGAATCTGGGGCAAGGAACGGATCATCGTTACTTGCTTGTCTCATTCGATGTTCTGTTCATGGCTGCGCTTTGAGGTTGGATCTGGGGCGAGCCGGATCCCACACCTGAGGACATCTTCAAGTCCTGGTCATGGTCCTTGTCCACATCTCACATTGCACCGAGGTTCCTGAAAGTTAGATCCACATCCGCACAGATTCCGTGCACGTTCCGGATTCAATGTCGCAGTTCTACAAATGTTCACGGCGACCCTTCCATGTTCTTGCATGCAGGAGTTGCTGACGTACTGGTTCGGCGTGGAGCCCTACAAGTTCCGAGGAGGGCTCTGGTGGCGAGGACGGGCTTGGTCCACTCCAGTGTCCACTCCAGTTCACTGACAAAGCAGGAACATGCCAGAACCATCGAAGTGTCGAGAGTGTGACATTCGTAAATCTGGAGAAGACGTTGTGATTGCCACGCAGCCCAGGCAACCTGTGCAAAAACAAGTCGTGCTTTTGCACTTTCGCCAAAAGCTTTTGTCTGTTTCGTGATGGCGTGACATGTTTTGTAAGTGCAAGTAAGAAGCAAAAAAAATCAGAAGCACCGCGAGACAAAGTAAGATCCTTTTTGGAAGAGAAGCGAGCCGAATATGGCGAAGGTTAATTGGAGCCTGTACTACTAACTACAATGATTAGCCATGTTGGCTCTCTACAGAACCACTATAATTGTACAAACCATTCTTGTACAAACCATTCTTGATATTTCCTTGTATTATAACCTGATGACGCTTGCCCTGATGTACCTGATGACCTTGCCACCAGGAATTGATCCGGCCAGCCCTTTGGACGGTCAGGCGGGTGCAGACAAGCATTCTCGTGCTGAAGTGCAAGGGGCGTTCAGCTGTCATTTGGGATCCAGAATTTTGACAGTTGACGCTTATGAACGCAGGCGGCATATCGAGGCCTCCCGTGGAAGTGCTTGACCACCATGTGAAGCTCAAAGTAGAAGTCCTCACCAAATCCCTGCTGTGAGGAAAAGCTTGATACCCTCGGCAATCTGTCCCAACCCCAGACAGCCCGTCATTTATTCTAGGGGCCTTCAGAAAGAGAATAATAGGGTTTTGGGGGTCCACTATACTATGATCAGGAGCCCTAACCATATTATTGGTAATTATTTAGGCCCCTATATTACATCTCACTGGCGGGAATCATGCAGAGTTACTGGAGGAGGGCACGGACCAGCGCATCCTCAACAAGTACGGCACCTTGATTCGCAGCTGCCAGAATGGTTTGGCCAACTCCAAGGCCGCCGGATCGTACTTGGTGGCTCCGCTTTCGGCCCCCCGTAATAATGGTGTAAGCAGCCCAGCTTGTAAAGAGCCCTTTATCCGAGCTCAGAATGTAAGTGGCGGCGCAGTCTCGAGTCCCTAGCATCGAGGCTCCAGTTTGGAACTGCCCGGTACAGGAGTCCTAAGCATCTGAGCCTTCAACGCCTCTGCTGCCCGGTCTCTCTGCTCTTTGAACCCGCGCCGCGCAAGCAGCTGTCGTAGTTTAATTCGCAGCAAAAGCTTCTAGTGGTTGGACTGCAGGTTGTGGTATTCAAGAGGCAAGCCCTTGAAATGTTTCTGTGGCACAGGTCGCATCCTGGGCCGATACGCCGGAGGGAAAGGCTGCACTAGTGGTTTTGTTCCTCGGCAGTGCAAGATCAGAGCACAAGTGGTCACGCGATGGTCTTGCGATATGGCTGCCGGTGGCAAATCCACAGGTTCATGCCCCGTAGGATAGGTTTGGCATTACGCGGCTTTCGAGCGGGGTGATTGCTGTGGTGCGTTCGACTTGCGACCTTGACTTGTGCGTTTACATAGCATTGGCTGAAGTTGAAGGTCGGCATTCACAGACTAGGAACGATTTAAGCAGGCGCTTCCGATGCTCGTGGCAATGCGTAGGTGCACTTGTTCTTCGGACCTGGCACAGCTACTGCAGTGACGAGCCCATCTGGATTGTGTGAGGGCATGCTCAGCTTATGTTTATGAGACGGAAGCCAGAAGTTTGAGTCGAGCTGTCTTGTTGTTAAACGTGCTTGTTGATGTCGGCTTGTATTTTTAAAATCTATGTGTGTATCTGTGTATATATATATATATATATATATTATACGGAGAGAAAAACAACAAGCAAGTGCGGGTCTAGGAAGAGAGAGTGGACGAACAAGCATACAAGACATGTGTGCGACCACGCACCCGCATGTAGATCTCGGTCTGCCAAAACAGAACTGTTCTACAGTCTGTACCGTAGCTGTATTGCACGACAGCAAGACACAGGCAGTACACAGGCGCCGGTTGATATAGTTGAAGCAGTTGAAGTGGATGCTCTGGCGAGGCTCGACCAGATGCCCAGAAATGCTTTCCGTGGCACTGCAGAGATGTTCGCCTACGATGCCTTGGCACAGGCCGCCATGGTTGGGGCTTTAGGGTTACGACCCTGGATCCCTGGATCACATCGCATGGAGGGTTCAACGAAGGAGGCCCCTGAAGGCGAGCACCAGGATCTACGATCTTCCGGGCACGTGGGGTCGTGACAGGTGGTCCAGTTGAGATACCGGACCCGCAGCATTCCGGAGTCGCTCACCAAATCTCTATGCAAAGGGCCACAGCTTGGCAAATTCGGAAGGCAGCTGCGAGCTCGAATGCTCTCGAAGAAGCTTAGGTCGGCACGACACCCATGACATGAGCTAACTCCGCTGAACCCCCTTTCGGATCCAGGGGCCTTCTGTTGTTCAGCCGCGCACACCTCTGCCAGTCAGTGTCAGTGTTTTCCTGCGCATGCCAGGAGATGGCGTCGAAGCTGCTGCAATGCGCCTCTCGATCTGCAATCAGACGTGTACCCTGGTCTTGAGTACACCTTCGCACTTGTAGCGGTCGAGATTTCAAGGGGATATCAAGACCACACGCTACCTGCTGATGACGGGTCACCGGCACCGGCGTGTCATGCCGCTTCATGGATGGACTAGTGGTTTCAGAAGAGCTTCAACCGTTGACCAGGTTCAAGACCCACCACCAGATCATCCGAGCCCTCCCTGAAGCCCAAACTGCAACCTTCGAGCCGCTATAAGGAGCAAGTTCCCTGGCCGCATGCGACCTTCGCCCAAGTGGCGCTCATGCACTCCGAGGATGTGGCGACGGTGGAGGCCTTCTGGGTTTCTCGCTTGATCGCAGATTGAAAATATGATGTTTGCAGCGGTCGAATTCTCGCACAGTCCCCTGTGTTATTAGATGTTATGAGTTTCCTTGCAGGACTAAATACCCCTGACGATCCCAAATCATCCACTCCCCTCGGCCCAAGCAGGCATCGGCTTTGGGACTGCTACGTTTGGCAAGCGAAGTGGAGCCACACGTTGCGAACCGGCTCAAGCACCTCGGCCTGCCGGGCTCTGCAATGGGATGTGTACACGCACACGTGTAAACAGTTTGTATGTGCGCGTATACCAAGAATCACGAAATCGTAGGTCTGGGGGGGAGGGGGGCGAGCATATCTATATCGATAGATAGATAGATAGATATATACATATATATATATATATATTTATATATATTTATATATTTATATTTATAACTATAGAAATATATGTATGTATATGTGTATACATAGATATGTATATATATATATATATATATATATATGCATAATGTATCACTGTGTATATGTATGTGTACTTCTAGATACACGTTTATAATGTTCTTATGTACGTGCATACTTGCTCTCACATACATATTGGCCTTCACATCTCAGGTCTATGCACAACGAGGCCAAGACGCACTCCTCGGTGCTGCGCAGCTTCGGCCGCTCCTTAGCGGCTTTGCACCGCTATCAGCGGATCTTTCTGGGTCCAACATCATTCAGGATCCAGGCATCTCCCAACGCGTAACATTTGAGGGGGAGCTCAGAGAATGCTGCTTTGCTTGCCGCAGATGCCCGACACATGACAAAGCGTATCAAGTATCAGGATGACATGAGTCTGCGACAGGCATACTTATACATAGTTGCAACCTGCAATGGCTGCCGAATCTTCGCCCTTCCACACTTGGCAAAGGTTACCCCCACCGCAACGAGCTTCTGGGCCGCGAAAGCTCTGCAGCAGAGCTCAGCTGGCTTCGGTCCAAGAACCTTTGCGAAAGGTGGCGGGATCGATTGGCCTGGCTTGGATGAGCAGCAGTGCAGGGTCACCATTATCTGAAGTTGCTTGTTATCAAAGACTTTGTTTCCGCACAAGTCTCGGCTGTCTGCAGGATATCCTTTTGATTCAAGGACAGGTGTTTGAGGCCTCGGTCTTCTTTGGATCGTGTGGTGGCGGACTTCCTACCAGAACCAAGCATGAGAGATTGAATCATCTGCGGGTGCCCAGCACCGCTGGAAACGCCCAGGAACCTCCCGACCTGGGCCCAGTCTGTCCGCCCAAAGTTCCAGAAGAAGCTGGAGGGTACAAGCCAGGACAGCATGAAAGCCAGATTTCCTGCATGTCTGAAATTACGAAGGCCGGGCTACACACGGCCACATTGATGAAAGAGTATGATTAGAACAACTGACTATGTGTGCATGGCATAGCGGTCGCTGTCATCCTTGTCTTGGTTTTCGCGGGTTGAATGTGAGTGCTAGATTTCATCACGGAAACCCTCGCTGGATACGGTTTTGGATATCTGGTTGCTGTGAACTACGTCCCATCTTGTCTGCACTCATCATCGTGATCAAAATTTCGATGCTGCTCGAGACGCTTCTGGTAAACAGTGTGGTAAGGATGATGATGATGGTGATGGTGATGATTGCGACGATGGTGGTAGTGAGCATTTCGGTGGCTGCAGGAGGTGCAGAAGATCCCCGACTTCGTAGCGCAGCCAAGCGGTCCCAAGCTACGAATACTCGTGCTCCACAGCAGCTTTGCAAGAGAAGTCTCAACCGTGCAGTGACATGGATGCTTTGTGGGTTGAGGCTCTATCTGCTCGGAGATTCAATGCCACATTACAACGAAACATAGCGACGAGCCATGATTGACAAGTCTTCAGGGAGATTCAGAGCTCTTCGCCGTTTCGCTTCATCATGAAACCCCGTGTCGTTTGATTGGTCTGCTTGGTTGGCGTTTCTGTTGTCGCCGCTATCCATGTCACGTCTGCATTTATGAATTTATGGCAGGTTTGGGCTCCTCGAGGGTGCTGTGCCCCGCAACATCTCGCAACGCTAGGCTTCTGTACTACAGGTTTGTTGCTTGCTTGTGCGTGTCCTGTGCCAGATGGTCTTGCAAGTGTGGCATTTGCACGGTGCACATGTGCGCACTGTATGCTAAGCTTGTAGTTCATGCGGTGCAAGCGATTGAACTCCACACCAAGTCGGAAGAAAACGATTGCTGTGACGCAGAGGTTGCAGTTGCGCTTCGGTGGTGTGGTCCCCCGCATCCCTTGATAGCATCTCGTGGAAGTGTAGCATCATGCTTGCCAGACTCAGCCAGAATTCCAGAAACCATACTTCCGGTTGGTATCCACAGAAGAGCACTCGATGTCTCCTTGACTTGTGCCGCAGCAAAGGCAACCGGCAGAATGCCAACGACTTCAAGCGCAAAACACGAGGTCCCCTAGAACCCTTGGAGGTGGAACTGGGGGAGTTCGGGTTCTGGTCAGAGGCTTCTCGCAGTCTTCACTGAGTTTTAGGGTTTTCATGTGTCAAGTGGGACCATCTGTGTCCTGCAACCGGGCTTGACGTTTCGAATGCCTGGGAGAGAGAGAGAGAGAGGGTTCATAGACCATCCCGTTTCCTTGCTACGTCAATCGAATCATTTACTGTTGAAGTTTGCCGGCCTCGTTGGGTTTTGCAGACCGCTCTCACCCCCCCAGGGCCCCACGGAAAGGTGTGTGATGCCCGCAGACTAGAGAGTACCTGCAGGCTGTCGCAGATCTCCACTACTTGGACGGGCCACATGCCTACACGCCGATGGGCGAGGTGGGGCAGCCTAAGAGAGTATGACAGCATGATGCTCATGACGATTTCGATCGCGCCGTCTTGAGGTGAGGGTTACCGTCCGTGCATGAAGGAGTCGATGTCAAATGCTGTAACCGCATCAGGCTCATGATTCCGTCGGGAAGATCGGGGTCAACGCTCCAAAAAACCGGTGCTGGTGGAGTCCCGACTCAACTGTGGTTCGTGGCTTTTCGTGCAAGCAAGAGTGCGGTATTTTCTTTCGATGCAAAGTCTTCGGATTAAAGCGGTGCCCTGCTAAAACATTCTAGGGATGCAGCCGGAGATGGAAAATGGGGAGGGTTTCGCTTGGAAGCTAAGGGCTAAGTAGCAAACCGTAGCCCTTCATAATTTGACTGGGTTAGCCGCTTACTCAGTGCACTCAGAAGCTCTTCTTGCATCTTCTGAATGATCCCGAGACAAGTGCCTCACCCTCTTCCAGCGACTTAAGCCTCGTCGAAACTCGGGAGGGAGAACTTCTTCTAGCTTCTCCGAGCAGCGCTGGAATGCCTCCAGATCCCTTTGTGGCTGTTCGTGTCATGGGCTGAGGAATGCCACGGACGACCCATCCACGATGCGATATGTGGCTCAGACTGTATGCTGACGTCAGGATAGCGAGTGATTTTGGGGTATTCGTCTTTCTCAGCGATACAGGCTTGCAACTTCTGATGCTCTCCAGCTGCTTGCCCTCCAACGTTTTCTACTCTTTTGGCGGTGCGTCTCCTGATTTTTGCCCCAGACACGACTACCGCGAGAGCTCAGACCCGGATGCAATGCAGGTGGGCATGGAAAAAACGTTGGAGCACGTGGAGAACGCCTTTCGCGAGCATGGCCCTTTCGACGGCGTCCTGGGCTTCTCGCAGGTGGGCTCTTTCCCTGTGGATGCTGAGTAGATTCGCAGATGCTTTGCATCCTCGTGTCGGAATCTTGAGCCAGCTCAAAGCTGAGCCCTGTGTGCATCCACCCAGTAAGATATACGGGGCCACGAACCTGGCTTCTTGGAACATGGAACATGAAGGCATCGAAGTGTCCCCATCTCCACATGGCTTTCTTGCAAAGGCTCATGCCTGGCGAATCCGCCTTGTAGAACTTCCCCCACTCCTTCTCCAAGCTCAGCTGATCGTTTCTCGTGACACCACCACTGTATGAGCGCGAGCGCTGAAGCCATTGTGGGGGAAGTGCGATGCTTACTGATATATTGATCTTCACTGTTAGTCAGGCTGTTAGTAGTGAGGGTCGAAACAGTCGAAACCGACAGGGTGGATGCCTTGCTGGTCTGCTCGCAGCTCTGCAGCCACGACACTGGGATTGAGCTTGGGGCTGGGGCACCGCTTGGTTTGTTTGATAACGTTTGCAGGGCAACGGATGCAGCTCGGTGTGTTTGGGTTCCCTAGCTTGACGGTTGGTTGTGGAGATCAATGTCTCGTGGTTTTGGGTCGTTGTTGTGCAACCGCAGGATGATCCCTTTGCCTTTCTGGGACAGCATGCTCGTTACTGTTTCTGAGCCTTCTGCCATCTGGGCGCCCTTGTCCGGATCCAACTGTAACAGGGCGGGTTGGTTCTGAGTTGTTGTGACTAGCATTTGCTTTGCACACGGCTAGTGCAGCGGGGTTCAGTTGGACATGTGCCACATGTGCAACAGGACCAACAAGATTCGTTTTGCCTGTAGGACTCATGGGGACCTAGTAGCTGCAGGAGCCTGCGAATCCTACAGGCCCCAACCTTGAGTGTCTTCCCGAGGCGGTCACATCAAGACCCTCAGCTGCAGTGCTCTGCAATCGAGCCAAAATCTGTTCTGCTGCAAGCCAGTGGTCAAGTGTAGATTTGTGGAAGCTTGTCGTAAACGACAGCAGCATCTTTCAGCTCAGTTCTCAGGTTCGACTTCTGCGCTGGGCGCTCAGTGCTTGAAGCATTTTCGACTTCCCGGCTGCTGCCTCCAAAAACGAGTTGCATCGCCCACCAGCATATCGAAGAGAAAATGCTCCACCGACCGATAACACAATCCAGCACATAAAATAACCCCGAATGGCGGTCTGCTAGTCACGACAGAGATGAGTGTGATAATGGTATAGGTCGATGCGTGTGTATGTGTGTGTACTCATGCAGTCGATACTGCAGCTTGTTGCTATCGGTTCATGCTCGCGCAAGCACACATGCTTTGAGCCGTCGGTTCTTCTGTTTTCTGGCAGATGCGAACAAGGCGCGCGCACACACACATCAAGCCTTGCGACGAGCTGATTGTTTAAGCAACTTGGTACACTTCTCGATTTGTGCGTAGCATCCTTTCGCAGCTGCCATCTAATCTTGTCTGTATGGTTCCAATTTTATCGGATGATCCCCGAAAACAATCCGGCCCCGCTGTGTGCATGCTGCAAGCAGATGCATGGACGAGTATTGGAGCAGTACTAAAGCAGATTGTTCCAGACTGATTGAGCGCATTTGCTCAGAAATTAAGGGATTGCACCTAGAAGTCCGCGGAACAGGAGGACGATCCGGACGAGCATTCACCTGTTGTCACTTTACGTTGGCATTTGGTCGTGGGCGTACCTACATGCACCTATACAACTCTTTTGAACTCACAGTTTTGTGCACATGGATTTCTTCTCGGGTGCATGTATACGCGAACTTCCACTGGCCAATGATATGCCATTGGATTTCATTTCATGCTTTTCCGATCTGAGGTGGTTCTTTCGGGCTTCTACTGCCGGGATGTGGAGTACTGCAAGCTTTTGCTCGACGGAGTCCCGAAGAATCATCGCATCTCGGCCATGACACTTAGGCGGCTCTCGCAGCTGACATCGGAAGCCTGAGACTGTGCTTCGAAAGGCCGTGAGTATAGCCATGGCCCAGCCTCGGCGATCGTCTCCGCGCCTGGTTCCGAGGCAAAGAAGACGTCCATGCGAAAGGCGGGGCCATTACTATGCCGTCCTTCCATTCCTGGGGACTCGAGGACCTTCGGGTGGAGGAACATGATGCCTCAAAGCTCGTGGCAGATGCCAACAGATGGTAGTCTGGGCTTTTGGGACGTCAGTGGATAGCTGAGTCGTTTTGGGTTCTTTTGGATTTTGTCATCAGATCTGTGATTCCACATGGCCACACATGGCCACACGCCAGCAATGCTGCTTCAGCAGTTACGCCATCCATGTGCTACAATGCTACACCATCCCGACAACCCAAGACATCCCGAGACTCCCACCGAGCCATTCACGCCTCAACACCAGGATCAACTGGTGGAACCATGGCGATCCGAAAAGCTGGCTGACTGCTTCAAGGACCTGCGGCGGACTTTCCAGCCGTAGCTCATGTGGGTGCAGCGTGTAGACTCTCTTAGGAGTAGCGCTGCGGAAGATACCTTGCCGGATGTACTCAGTGATTCGGAGAACAACAGGAAATCAAGTGTAGTGAATTTCCATGAACTTCCTCCATCAAGGGTCTCAGCGAACTAAGTGACAGGATCCTCTGCTGGTGCCGCACAAGGCCCGTGGGAATTGGGAGTGAAGAGACTCTGGGCCTCCTGCTATCACACTGCAGACAGTACTGTTGAAAACTGCGGTCGCATGCTCCTTCCGTCAGTCCAGGAAGAGTATGAAACAGTTGGATTTCGAGACAGGCTAGGGGCAGGGAAAGTAACGGAATTTCTCACCTTTCGCAGCCAAAAGCTGGCCTGCGCGAGCTTTGAACACGCAGGTCTTTCACTGGGCCGCTCATTCTAAGGAGAGAGGCGAAATGCATTTATGGTGTTCATGGCATGTTGTAGAGTCTTAGTACAGACGCACGCACACACCACCATACATACACATACTGAAGGAGTTACTAGCTTAAGAGTATGCGTGCTTATGTTTTGACAACATGTGTAGATGCGCGTCTTTGATCGCAAAATCTTTAAGCGACAGGATTTAGATCTACTTGCCTGTAACCTGCGTTGCACTAGACCCTCGGACGCGTGGTTCTCATCCTGTTCCGCCCCAGGCCGATCATTTCGCTCAGGGACGTCTTCATTGGCCCATCGACCTTATCGTCAAGTGGCTGAAGGCAGGAGGTGTGGCAAAAAGTGCACTGGTCAGAGGCTTGGGGCAGTCATAGAGTAACAGTGATCAACAGATTTGGTAATCGCAATCTCCGATGCACTGAGCAAAATGGAGGAGACTGGGCTCACCAAGCTTGCCGAAGCGCGGCCTCAGGAGGTATTGAAGCAGGAGTGCGAAGTCTTGCATCTGGTGTACGACTCTGACATTCAATTTTGAGGTTCTGGAAGAGTTGTATTGTGACATTGTCGCTTTGGAGCTTTTCAATGCGCACTTTGTCATAGCTTTCTCCTAAAACTCCTTGCCAAGCGTTCGCCTGCGATGCCTGCTGCACCTGCTTCGCAGTACTGAAGCATCGAGACAGCTGAAGCCCTAGCCTCTCAAAACTCTAGCCTGACTCGTAGCAAGTTTGAAGGACAAGACAGCCTGGGCACGTCTGATGAAAGGCGTGACATCGGAATGTTTGGTGCTTTCGCCAGGCTTTCAAATCTTTGAAGGTTTCGAGGTTCGAACATGAGCTCACATCATGATGAACAGCTCGCCTCTCTTGGTCCTGGTCGAGTATCGCTTGCCTACCATGCAGGCGTGCGTCATATCGGAAGGAGAACAGTGAACAGCTTAGAGTAGAAAGTTGGAACATCAGTATCCTCATGCCCTTAAGCCGTTAAGGTAAAGTATAGTGGATCCTAGCACCAATCCTCCTAAACCCATGTTCCAACTTTCTGGGGTTCACCGTACTGGGTCTAGTGTTACAACAGCTCTGTACCCTCGCCTGATCCTGTTACCCCCCTCGCAGGGAGTGGTGTGGCTGGCATCAGACAGGAGCGGGGTGTCCGGATTGCGGCGAGCACACACGGCAAATCAAGCTGCATGCAGCTTGCGACACATTGTCAGCCACCTGCAGAACTTTCAGTGTTCGATGCGCAGGAGGATGTCCAGGAGGTGATGGCAGAGGCCCGAAACTGCCAAAGAACATCTAGAATTTCCGACTCCAGACGCCGCGGCTGCTCTTTCTGTTTCTTGTTCCCGTCGTGCCTTGCCCGATGCACGACTTACCGACGACGACTTGTCGAGCTCAGGCCCCCAAAGAGCATGAGCTCGTTGTCATGTTTGTATGCATGTCGGCGGAAGCAGCAGTACTCCCGGCTCCCTGTCGATGAACCGCAGAGGTTTGTATTTCAAGACCGTCTACTAGTCATTTCTATGACGTCTCATCGGCAAGTCAGTGCATATGTTCTGGTGTTGAAGGCGCTTGATTCCAAGTCCCTGCAGCAGTTGTTGGATCGGGCGCTAGCACTTCTGCCGCCACATGGCCAGCATCTAGTCATAGGTCGAACCTCCAGTGACTCTAGTCATAGTGCTGTTTCGAGTTGTGTCGCAGTGTAGAGAGAGAGGTAGGGGTCTCTAGGTAAGTCATGGGCGCTTTTGATGCTCACATGCCGAACCTGTAACATGCAAGCAACAACACTCGGGCAGATTCGGGTAAGCCTGCCGAAGCCTACGCAGAAAGTAAGTTGCTTCACAGTCACAGGGTGTTTCATAAGTTTCGTGAAGAGATGGTGCTGTTCGTTTGAGTGGGATTGTTCGCATGACTCCCTTGAAGTAGCTGTGTGCGAGACTTCACGCCAACCTCACCGCAACTGCGCAGACACTCGGAGGACTGTCGTCGCCTCGAAAGTCCCAGGGCCCGAGCGACCAGCGTTATTAAAATGGGAGTTTCCGAAATTGGGGGGTACCTTATTTTGGGGGTCCTTATAACGAGGATCCTACTTTTTAGGGTACTATATTAGGGTCCCCTATTTTCGGAAACTCCCAAATAACCACCGATTGCATTGCAAACGGCGAGCGACTTAAAAGCAAGATTCTGTCTCGTGAGGTGGAACTCCAAGGTAGCGCAGCCACTGGCAGCCTACTGGATCATCCTAGCCGTGTCTGCGGACCCCAACTATACCGCTGCTCGGATAAGGTTCATGGATTCGTGTTTATGTCAAAATTCCGCTCTACATGTGAGCGACTGCTAAGTTCCTACCCAGGAGGATCCAGCCTCGATTCTCCAAGCTCTCGTCGCAGCAGGTCGGGCCTTTGGCTGTAGCTTTCGTAGTCCTCAGTCCTTAGCAAGCAAACGAAGGAGAAGCTGTGAGTCTGTACATGGTAATTAGTCAAATAATGAAAGGCAACAGCAAGAAAGCGCATCTAGGACTCTTGGAAGTAGAGCTGCCGCGCATGAGGCGGATGGAAGTCGTTGGTCCATCTTCACTCGATCTTGGAGGACTGAGACTAAGTCGTTGGCTGGCTGAGGCATGTTGGGATGGAAGGTGGACAGTATCAGTGCGGAACAATGAGGGGGCACAGGCGGTGTACAATGGCCTACATGTAGAATTCTGGAACGAGTACCCGTCGTTCTTGATTCAGCATGCGGTGCCCTCCTTCAATGTTTTAGACGGTGACACCACATTCCTCATTCTGCGCAGGGATTTACTTGAGTAGCAACACAAAGGCTCACGAGCTCTGAACATCTCCGACCTCGTGTCCTCATCCTTGGCCCTGAAGGTTGCCCCGAACAATGAACTCACAAATCTCATGGTATTGTTGTCCGGTGCTTGGTTCAAACTCTGTTCTAAACATATTGGTGAAAATATTTTTCCCCCAATGTGCTTGGCTCAAACCCTGTTCGAACTTGATTGTCTAGTTCTAGTTGTCCTGGTCTACCATCATGGTTTTGTGCCAATGCAGGAACAGGAATCCACCCAATGCAGCGAGACGATGCAGACGGCAATTGTAGAGTTCTTCGGGAAGCAGCTGTACCTTAACCGCAGGCCTTGAGCCGCCATGGTCTAGTCCTTTTTCTGCTCCCGGTAAATCACAGCTTTGGTTATTATTATTGCCGCGACTATTACGATGGAACAAGTCTGTTACTTCTTAGGACTGGACTAGCTCTCGTTGAAGGGGATCGTCATTCAAGTTGCCTGTTCCATCGAAATGGCACACGACATCACGAACAGACAGCGCGTGTATCATGCACATGGCAACTACAATCTAAATGTCCACAGACAGCTTAGCTTTTGAGCGCCGTATTTCAATTCACTGCTACTGTCACTATTGCATTGACCACCGGATATTCCGCTTCGTGGAGCACAACGGGTTTGCATCGCTTGAACCACAAGCCACATCAAGTGCTGAATTCCGTTCAGGCCCTTCAGCTGCAAATTGCAAGATTCTGGCACCGAAACTGTGGAAAATCATAACGATGACAAGGATCCCGCAAAGCTGAGCTACTCGGGACATCTCCTACCCTGAGCGTTAACAATCCTACCATGATTTCGCATTGCCTTGACTATCATCACTGCCAGTAAGACAGGAAGTGTTGGAAATCTTGGGCCATCATCCCGAGGTCCGAAGATGCCACCGTGGTTCGAGACTGGCGGGCCAGCGAGGATCCATGTAGGGATTGTTGGATTTCGAAGTTGTGCCTAGGGGTGTGCGGACTTCCGGGCTTTTTCATAGGGATTACCTTTCGGGATGCGTATTCGGTCGAGGCCAACGGGTCGCTACCCTGTCCGGCCAGGATGATCACCGGGCACTTGGGATGCAGCCGGCCGTGCCCCGACCTTCTTCGTGTGCTGTTTTCGGCGGTGGCGGTGGAAGGACTCCTTGTCAACAGCAACAGATTCTGGTGTGTGTGTGTGTGATATGCTCGAGCATGTTTGTGAAGACTGGTAATGCCCCGCGTTCACGCGAACGCTACGGCACAAGCCTCTAAAGTCTTAAGATTATAGCTTTCTGAGCATACGAGTCAGTCAGGTCCGCAGCTTTGATGTAGCCGGGCCGGTCTGGTAAGATTTTCAGCTTTACTGAGCCCCATGAACCCCTCATCGTGTTGCCCAGCCGACCCCCCATCCTTTGTTCCGATCCCGAAGCGACACTGTAGCCTTAAACCCAGAAGCTTGTATGCAAGTATTGTAACTTGTCGAGTGCGAGTGACAAAAACGTAAGTTTTGTTGAAGACTCGCCTGGAGATATCTGCCAAATATCTCCGGAGCCCTCCGAGGTGAGCCAGTGTGCAAGGCACGCGCCGCGCTTCGGTGGTGCCGTGCGCAAGTTTGCACTCAGCGACTTGGCTTCCTGTTTGCGGTAGGTGCCCTGAGTCAATTCGTAGCATGGCAGCAGGAACCGAGAACAGCGACAGAGACAGAGCGAAAGGTGAGGCTGATGATCACAATCATGGCAGCAACAACAGCATCACGCAGCAGCAACCCATACGGACACGAACGAGGACTCTGAAGGGTATGGCCATAGATCCAGGAACTGAATCTGCGCAGGCATCAATTAGTTCGCAGTGCATGGACATGCGTCGCGATGGTTTCAGAGTGCCAAAACAGCTTTCAAAATAGTTTCGAAGCCTATAGAGATGCAGGTCAGCTGCGTAGCTGCCCAGATGCCAGAACGCCCAGTCCAAGACGCAAGTCACTATACAGCCGAACCCCACCCTTAATGTTGCGAAGTTCTCCACAGGGGTCGCCTCTGATATCCACTGCCGCGGCGGCGGCCAGCTCGTTGAGGACATACGGCAGCAGCAGCCCGAGCTCAGCGTCATGTATCGCCGCCGGGCTGATGTTTGCGAACAGATCTCAGCAAACCTGAGCCTTTGCTAGATTTCTGCAATCAGCATCCAGACCAAAGCTGGCTGTAATCATATGCTGGGATGTGCTGCCATCACTGGTGAGTTAGGCCCCAAGGCTTCGGCTCAGTCAATGATGTCGGTTCGGTTTATCATGTTTTGGTCTCCTTTCCATTAAAAATGTGTTAGTTCTGTACAAGCGGCTTGTGTGTGTGTGTCTGTGAGCAGAGGTTAAGTCAGCAGGATCAGCTTCTGTTTTGTGCCCGTGGTTGGTCGCTCGCGAAGATTTACTTCTTGGGTCCGGCTAAAGTTTGTTGTCTAAGGCAAGCTGCTGAGTGCATTTCGGCCGCATATCAGATGCAGCAGCAGGGTCTCGTTGGCTACGGCTGCCTTCTGCCTAACGCATCGTTGAAACGTCTTTGTAGGATGGGGCTCTGACACCCAGCACGTGTTGATTGTGCTACGCCGCTAGGCCTTCCGAATTCTATGATGCCGATGCATGCTGCATCGATCACGGGTGGTTGTGCCAATAGGGGTTTGGTTTCGCAGCTGCTGTTGGCACATGTCGCATATGTGGTACTGTTTGCCATCATGCGGAACCACGCTGTAGCGTTTGCAGAGATCCAGGGATTGCATATCTACATGCACGTGTGTTTATGTCTGTCTGCCTGTCTTTCTGGATGTATGTATGTGTATGTTTGCACGTATATGTGTATGCATGTATGATTATGCACGTCCCTTCTTCGAGGTGTTTTACCTGTACTTGAGTTTGTGTGTGGCAAGACGATGCTTGTGATCTATCCCAGCGAATCAGCATAGAACATATCGTATACAGTTGCCGCAAACACAGTATGTAATACAAGCAAAGGCCAGTTTGTCGGATCACTTGCCGCACGCACAACAGCATAGAAGTGTACAGCATCAGGGTGTAGTGTGCAGAGCTACGCAGCATTGCATGCAAACCAGGATTGACCGACACGATGCATGCAAAATACGACAACTCTATGTAGTCGAAGCGGTACTCGATTACCAAAATTGCACGAGCTTGCTGTCGTATGTGACGTTGTCATGGTCGGCAGCAGCCAATAGGGAGCTCCATATGCGGCATGCGGAAGTGTGTAAAGGTAGATAGCACAGTATACTTGGGTCATCCTCGTAAATAACGTACGTGACATGTCATACGTGTATATGTATAGACACTGCCCTATGTATAGTACACATTTCCACGTATCGGTTTAGGATGCAGGGTTTCGAGCGAGGGGACACTCAGAGCCCAGCCGCAAAAAAGGGTGAGGTTGCAGATTTGCAACAAGCTCCATGCACATCATGTGCAGAAGCAAGACGTACATGGGTGTATGATGCATGTGTATACATACATACACACATATGTATATATATATATATACTCATGATGTATCTATGTGTATATGTATCATAATGCCAATAAGATTGGTTGGTAGCATAGAACCGTACACAACCACATGAATGTTGACGAAGGCATTTCTCACGACACCACAGAGCAAGGACAGCATCGTACGTACGTTTGTTTCGTGTGTAATGCTAGTTGGCTATGGTACCAGACTTGATATGTGAAAGCCTTCGTTTCCCAATGTCAGCACTAGTATAAGCACACTTATCTGTACATCATTGTACATATAGGATGTCATCGGTCTCCTTGACGAGTTCTCCGAAGCTGGGCTGGCTCATCAGAAGGGCGTTTTGGCTGAAAGATGCTACTCGTCCCAGTGTGTAGTACTGTAGTCGCACCAGGGGAATTGACCTGCCGACCGTGTTTGTTATGCTCAGTGGGGACTGCGAAGCGTTCGTCAACTTCGGTTTCATTTTTCCCCATCCTTGAGCGATCGCAGTGTGTGAACAAATTTTGGGAAGTGGCTTTTAGATCCGGAGAGAAGCATTTGCTGCTTGGGAGAATAGGCTTCGAGTCTCTGCAGGCAGCTGTACAAAAGGTGAAAAAGTGTGGTCTTATCGGGTCATCCCGCATCTTGGCTGGGGGAAGCTGCTGTCCGCATTTGTTCAGATGGCTTTGCATGTTGAGGTGATCGCCGCAGCCAGTGGCGTTTGGGTGGACTCGCATCTCGCCGTATAATCGCATCTGCATCTGGTACTGACTCATGACGTCTCACGGCGTGGCAGGCTCGCGGTAGAGTTGAGAAAAGACAAGCCTCAAGCAGAACATGTGATCTCCAATGATGCAGAATCAGAAGACGCTCTGAGTTCACTACGGGACCTGTTAATCATGGCCCCAGAGAGAAGCAACTAACATGATACCTGTTACATCCCATGGCACATGCGTGTACTGCCACCCGGCTTTTCTCGGGGCATTTCTCGCGTTAAGCTCCCAATCAGATCCGCACAAAGGACGACAAAACATTTGCGGAGCTTCGAGCCTCTCCGTTGTCTGACGCCGCCGCGCAGCCGCAAATGGATAAGCCCAGTAGACCGTCTGTGTGGGCGTATGGGTTTTGGCACAAATGCATTTTTGACCACGTCCGGCTTAAAGTCTCATCCAGTGTTCGTCCGACGGGTGACACCGAGTCGATGCATTTTTTGTTTAAACTTTTCACTTGCAGGCGTAGCTTGGCGCCGATTGGGTGTTGCTGAAGAGCGCAGCCTAGATTTTGAAAGAGTATGGCGGCTGCGTCGTCGCAGCTTGCGGTTTAGAACTGCACGGTGCCTGGAGTCAGCTCGTGTGCGCATGCCGAGCTTATGTATGTCCATGACTGGTACAGTACCAAGTAGTAAGTGGTGGTCTCTAACGTGTGTTCTGACTACATTTCCGCAGGTGGTCCACCCGGAGCCGCAGCCGGTCCCCCTCTCAGATCCTTTCATTAGTCGCCTTCGACTCGTAGGCGTTGAGGACTCTGGGATTTGATGTCGGCCTGGAAATCTGAAGCAGCGGTTGAGCCTCAGATTCAGGGTCCTAAGCTTCAACCTTCAGCTCTCCCCCTTTTTGTTCTGCCTATGTCTCTTCTTTGCTTGGTTGAAGAATTTGTGTTTTCCGTCTCTTTCTGTGAACCTCTACCTCGCTTACGAGCACGACGAAGAGGTGGGGGTTTGCAGATGCTGCTAGGAAACAGTTCGTACGGACTCGATTTGTTTTGGAAGAGGTTGCCGGCCAGAGATGGCCAGAGTAGAAACATCGAGAGGAAGTACCAATGAAGGCTCGGGGGCATTCTGCCGACGAGCGGGTTTCTCCTGCCGTAGTTTCGTCGCCTGAAGACCGCAATGCAGTGTGATCTCCTACTTCCGTAAGGACCGTTAGGAGTTAGCTGCGGGGTCCCTCGCCTGTTGCCTTGTCTCCTTGCGCCGAGGTGGACATCTCTTCCGAGGAGGAGCTGGTCTATGAAAGCGTTGTAGCGAAAAGGGCTTTGTTCCAGGGGCGAAGGCGCAGCATCCGAAGAGCAATGGACTTTCTTCTACCTGTCTGTCGCTCGAGACTGCCGGAGCTTGAGCCGCGTGCCAGGAGATGATACCACTTTACAGCTTTCTGCGAAGCGGAGAAGACTTTCAGCCCAATGTCAACGACGATTTGGTCTTTACGAAGGGCACCATCACCCGCCCCTGGCCATACACTGGGCAGCGAGTGACCTTGGAGGTAACATTGTCTAAAACTCTAACAAAGCTTTCTTTGGGAAGACTTGTGTAGCAGCATCGAATGCCAAGGAGACAAACGTCTTGACTTGCGACTTGGCTGAGAGCCAGTCTAGGGTTCAGCCTATGCGGTGTGTTTCGATGATTCCGTTTAGGCCTTGCTCCGGATTGAACTTTCGTGGTCTTGGCGCTGACGTCAGTCACGTTGCATACTGTTGAACCTAGCCTCAACACCGTACTACACTTACAGCTGCCGGCGATTCAATGTGACAAGTTCTCTGTCGGGACCTGAAGATAAGCGGCAAAGATTCGCAGTAGAGGAACCGACTTTTTTTAAAGTCTCCGCAGCCAGGTGCAAGCAGGTCATCGGCCCTCAGGGCGTGGAGGACCTGATGCAGGCTTTGTTCGTAAACCAAGGAGCGGCTTGACTTGGACATCAGATCGCGACTTCCAAAGGAAGTTCGATGGGGTTTGTAGAGACTGGAAGATGGTTTTGGGCAGCTGGGATCAGTCTGGCTTGACAAAGCTTGCATGCAATTCTTCATTGGTAAGCATTGCTTGGAGAGCCTGTGTGGGCTGGGACATAGGACGCTTTAGGTCCTTGAGGTGATCAAATTCAGCTTGTGTGAGGCTGGCTTGGTGCAACACCTCCTGCTTGGCAATAATGTTTGCTACTTGGCTTGCCTACTGGCGCATTTGTCTGCCTGGCGGATGTGGCACACGACATGCTGCATTGGACATTCTTGACTTGAAACTCACGAGTTTGCTTTCTCAAGGCAGCAGTTCTGAGTTCGTGAGCATGTGTTTGATTGACCATCCATCCAGACCTGAACCGCAGAAGCCCACTGCATGGTTCATGCAGAATTAGACAGAGTCAGCCTGAGTGTATGTCTGGCCGATAGCTGGGCCCCGGCATGTGGCGGCTGCACCTGTTGTCGTTGGGCATAGCTACAAGCTCGCCGGCCCAATGTCGCTGGCAGACAGAGCGGCTGATGAACTTGACTGCCTTTCCACACTACGATAATGGCACTCGGCCTTACATGTACGAGGGCCAGCCTGTGAATGTTTCCGTACAGCTGTACATTGCCGCCATTCAGGAAGTTGATCAGAAGGGGCAGCAACTAGCTCTTGAGGGATACTTCCGTTGGAGGTGGATCGACCCTCGGCTTGCCCACACAGACGATTGCGGACCGTTCACGCTCCAGCTCCCAGCACCATCTGTTTGGATGCCAGACATCTACATCGACAATTCAGTCACAGAGTGGTACGGTGCTGGTGCCTTGTTCCTTTCACCAGATGGGGAAGCTTACAGGTCCGTACGCTTTAGCCACAGACTGCGATGCCCGATGGAATTTCATTTGCTCCCCTTCGACAAACAGAGATGCTTTGTCATGATAGCGTCCTACTCGAGCTCCATTGCCGACATCGACACAGGCGTTTGTTCAAGCAAGGGTGCTGGCGCTGCCATTGCACCCTTGAGCGAACTTGTGTAGCGATCCATAGAGCCGGGCACTTGTAACGTGGAAACAAGTCTCTAAAGCAGTTTCCTCGCGCTGGAGGTGAGTTCGCAGATGGCGCAGCGATTCTCCCTGAAGGATACGGCGGAACGACCGAGTGGAAGCTGGAGAAGTTGGAATCCGAGGTACTGCTGGGGTTACTATCGGGAGCCTGGAAGCCGTTAGTTTTTTCCCGAAAGCATCGCGAAGGGTTCTTCCGTGTGGAACGCCGCAGTTGAGTACATAGATGACAGACATAGAATCAACTTACTTGACTCCTTACTCTACACTCTACACTTGATACTTGACTCTACACTTGATACTTACTTACTTACTTGACCCCTATGACTGACTCTCTACACTTGACACTTGACTCTATGATACTTGACTCTACACTTGATATACGACTTACTTACTTACTTACTTCAATCTACTTATTAACTTACTTGACACTTGACACTGGACTCTATGTTATGCTATCTCTATACTTACTTACTTACTTGACTTGCTTACTTATACTTGCTATACTTACTATACTTACTACTTACTGACTTACTTACTGACTCTACTTACTTACTTACTTATTACTTATGATTATACTTATGATTACTTACTTATGACTGTCTCTCTATGCATCTATGACTTACTATGACTTATGACTTACTCTCTACATACTATCTACAAATCTCGGTATCTTAATATTTCTTTTTAAAGGCGGGGGTGGCACCGTCGGGGTCCATCGGGAATGCAACCCTTCCCAGGGATTCGCTGCCTCGGGCGTTCAAACGCGAGGTAAAGTTACACATTTTAGGCGCGCGGGTGAACCCTTCCCAGGGATTCGCTGCCTCGGGCGTTCAAACGCTAGGTAAAGTGACACATTTTAGGCGCACCGGTGAACCCTTCCCAGGGATTCGCTGCCTCGGGCGTTCAAACGCTAGGTAAAGTGACACATTTTAGGCGCACCGCGCAACCCTTCCCAGGGATTGGAACTCTCGGGCGTTCAAACGCGAGGTAAAGTTACACATTTTGCGGTTCCCGCGCAACCCTTCACAGGGATTCGCCTCCTCGGGCGTTCAAACGCGAGGTAAAGTTACACTTCTTGCGGGCGCCGCGCAACCCTTCACAGGGATTCGCCTCCTCGGGCGTTCAAACGCGAGGTAAAGTTACACTTCTTGCGGGCGCCGCGCAACCCTTCACAGGGTTTGGGTGCAGTTCAATTTTTTTTGCAACCCTTCACAGGGATTTGCATTTTGCAACCCTTCACAGGGATTGGCGTGGTCGGGTGTTCGAACGCGAGGTAAAGTTGCATTTTTTGATTTGCATTGAAATGAATTTTGCAACCCTTCACAAGGATTGGCGTGGTGGAGTGTTCGAACGCGAGGTAAAGTTGCAATTTTTGATGAGCATTGAGATGAATTTTGCAACCCTTCACAAGGATTGGCGTGGTGGAGTGTTCGAACGCGAGGTAAAGTTGCAATTTTTGATGAGCATTGAGATGAATTTTGCAACCCCTCACAGGGATTGGCGTGGTCGAGTGGTTGAACGCGAGGTAAAGTTGCAATTTTTGATGAGCATTGAGATGAATTTTGCAACCCTTCACAGGGATTGGCGTGGTGGAGTGTTCGAACGCGAGGTAAAGTTGCAATTTTTGATGAGCATTGAAATGAATTTTGCAACCCCTCACAGGGATTGGCGTGGTCGAGTGGTCGAACGCAAGGTAAAGTTACACATTTTGCGGTGCCCCGCGCAATCCTTCATTGAGAGGGATTAGCTTCCTCGAATGTTCTAATCGGAAGGTGTGCAGGTACTGTTGCATGGTCTTTGGGCGCTGCGTGTAACCCTCTGCATGGATTGGCGTGGTCCAGGGTTGAAACGTGTGTGCAAACTACTACTTGTATCCTTTCCGCCGTGCAACTCTCCACAGGGAGTGGCGTGGTCGATTGCAGGAACTTGCATCTCTGCGAGGTGCAATTGGCAACCCTTCAGAGGGATTGGCAGATGCATATATCGATAATATACGCACATATATATATATATATATATGTGGTCGATTGCAGGAACTTGCATCTCTGCGAGGTGCAATTGGCAACCCTTCAGAGGGATTGGCAGATGCATATATCGATAATATACGCACATATATATATATATATATATGTGTCGATTGCAGGAACTTGCATCTCTGCGAGGTGCAATTGGCAACCCTTCAGAGGGATTGGCAGATGCATATATCGATAATATACGCACATATATATATATATATATATCTATCTTTCTATCTATCCATATATAGATAGATAGATAGATAGATAATAGATATATAGATAGATAGATAGATAGACATATATTCATGCGCCTGTACGGCGCGTACGCTGTCTTGCGACGGCGCAACGCGCCGCTGCCTGGCCGATGACCTGCAGGCTCGGAGCTTCTTCCTGCTTTGTAGAGGCTTTCTCCTTGCACACGTTTGACTCGCAGGCTGCCTGGTCGATGACCTGCAGGCTCGGAGCTTCTTCCTGCTTTGTAGAGGCTTTCTCCTTGCACACGTTTGACTCGCAGGCTGCCTGGTCGATGACCTGCAGGCTCGGAGCTTCCTCCTGCTTTGTAGAGGCTTTCTCCTTGCACACGTTCGACTCGCAGGCTGCCTGGCCGATGACTTCTGCAGGCTCGGAGTTTCTTGCTGCTCTGTAAAGGCTTTCTCCTTGCACGTTTGCCTGCCTCGTTTGGCTCGAAAGGCAGAAGAAGGGGAAGAAAGGGAAAACGCGTTGCAGTATTTTGCACACATTGCAGCATCTTACTACACCTAGTACGCTTCCTTGCCTGCCTTGACGCTGTCTTGCGAAAGGGCCGGTGTGGAGATTATTCTCAGCTTATTCTCATCTTCTCAGCTGACCATACTTAGGACAGTTGTTTGCCCGCCTCGACGCTGTCTTGCGAAAGGGTCGGTGCAGACACTTTTGCATTTGAACATACTTGGGACAGTGTTTTGCTTGCCTCGACGCTGTCTTGCGAAAGGGCCGGCGTGGACGCCTTCTTCCATCCCATGGATTCGCGGTTGCAGAAGTTCCGCGCCGATTATGCCCAGCAGGGCGAAGACTGGCTCCGCACCGAGCTGGACAAGCAAAACCGGCAGGACCTGCGTGGGCTCTGTGTCGCTGCGGGTGTGCAACAGAAGTCTGCCGGGCACACGCTTACCAGAGCGGAGCTGTTGGAAGCTCTATCAAAGAGCATTGCCGGGGAGCAGGCTTCATGGGGAAGCGGCGTTCTTGAGGATTGTCCATGTCAGCTTCGGTTGCAGTGAACCGTCAGCGTCGTCGTCGGGTGGGATGTTTAGTGCTCTGCAGTGAAGCAGTTCTTGGTGTCAGGCCGATGAAGCGGCGTCGCAGCGAAAGCTGCAGGAGCTGCGCACGGGTTATGCCGAGCAGGGCGAAGCCTGGCTCCGCACCGAGCTGGGGAAGCAGAGTCGGGATGAGCTGGCTAAGCTCTGCGTCGCTTCGGATGTGCGACAGAAGTCAGCCGGGCGCAAGCTCTCCAGAGCGGAGCTGTTGGAAGCTCTATCACAGAGCATTGCCGGGGAGCAGGCTTCATGGGGAAGCGGCGTTCTTGAGGATTGTCCATGTCAGCTTCGGTTGCAGTGAGCTGTCAGCGTCGTCGTCGGGTGGGATGTTTAGTGCTCTGCAGTGAAGCAGTTCTTGGTGTCAGGCCGATGAAGCGGCGTCGCAGCAAAGGCTGCAGGAGCTGCGCACGGGTTATGCCGAGCAGGGCGAAGCCTGGCTCCGCGGCGAGTTGGGGAAGCAGAGTCGGGCGGAGCTGGTTGGGCTCTGTGTCGCTGCGGGTTTGCAACGACACCGTGCCGGGTGCACGCTTACCAAGCCGGAGTTGTCGAAAGCTCTATCACAGAGCATTGCCGGGGAGCAGGCTTCATGGGGAAGCGGCGTTTTTTAGGATTGTCCATGTCAGCTTCGGTTGCAGTGAGCTGTCAGCGTCGTCGTCGGGTGGGATGTTTAGTGCTCTGCAGTGAAGCAGTTCTTGGTGTCAGGCCGATGAAGCGGCGTCGCAGCAAAGGCTGCAGGAGCTGCGCACGGGTTATGCCGAGCAGGGCGAAGCCTGGCTCCGCGGCGAGTTGGGGAAGCAGAGTCGGGCGGAGCTGGTTGGGCTCTGTGTCGCTGCGGGTTTGCAACGACACCGTGCCGGGTGCACGCTTACCAAGCCGGAGTTGTCGAAAGCTCTATCACAGAGCATTGCCGGGGAGCA